CCAATGGACTGCAAATGTGTGAAAAAATAAGTCAAATGCTTGCACAACCCTCCTCTATTGTAAATAAGATACCACCACAGAAACAGCTATTGCCTGTGAGCATGTACCTCATACATGTCACTGTACTAATTGTACTGACTTTACAGTCTATAACTAGCTGAATTACACAAACTTGATTAAGTCTATTCTATACATAGATGAAACTATAGTAATGTATGTGTGTTAATGTATAAAGTGCCGAGTAACTTACATACTAATAGTTGTAGGATCGTGGCCTTTTCCTTCCCGGCATAGCTGTAAATGTCTAATCCTGACGGATACTGTGTGTTTTCAACTGAAGTCTTAAAATTACTGAAGCTGACATCAGCAAAAGCTATGCAAGTTATAGTGTGGAAAAGCCAACAAATAAAACTGTTTAATAAAATGTCAACTTCCACAGCAATTTTCTGTCAAATGCGCGCTGTTCTCCAAGACTTCTCCAAGAATACTCCAGTCAAATAAGAACATAAAAATGTATTCAAGGCTATGGCCAAAGTACTACTGAAAATGCCTGAGTTTTCCCCAACCTGGATAATAAGCTCCCAGTTGTGTTTTTTATGTCCCCCCAGGAGCTGCAGTGGGTATAGACAACTGTGAAAGACTGCTGCCCTTTGACATACACCTTCCCAAAAATAAGACTGATTTCCCACCTCTACACACTAACAGAGTGAGGGGGAAGAAGCTGTATATAAAAACCATTTATAAACAGCCACAAGTTCAACATATTTCAGATATGACCCTATATCCTTGCACCTGGCAACCAGGTATTCCACTCCAATTAGAGCTGCTCAATAGCTGGCAAAACCCCAGTATTTTCTGCCCCCCCTTGAATCACTCTGGACAAAGGCAAAAAATCAGAGTTGGTATGTAGTAAAATCACATAAAAAGAAGTGACAGTTATAATGAGAAATTAAATATCCTACTAAAAAACTGTTACAATTATGAAGCTGCAATGGTTAAGCATGTTTGTGAACATTAAAAATCCCAGTTATAGCACATAAATAAAGGATAAATATAAACTCATTCCATCAGTCTGTTGCCCAGTTCCTGTGTCTGAATAACTGAAGTCTAAGAAACAAATCCAGCAGTGCAAAAGAAAAAACATAAATCTGTAACTTGTATTTACTAGGTAAAACTGAATTCCATTGGGGCACACAGCAGGAACAGAAGATTACAAGGAGGAATTAGACAATTAGGATAAAAAAAAACTCTGGAGCATGAAATTGCAGGAACAGAGGTAACACAGAAAGGCAAAACTGTGACAGGAAACCAAGAGAAAGACAAGGAACTGAAAAGAGAGTATAAATGCTTAAGAAGCAGCAGAAACAAACGGAAATAACCAGAGAAATTACAGTACCCCACCCAACAATACTTTCTGCATGGCAAATAAAACAGTATTTTAAGAATTAGCAAGTTCCAAAAACTACTGAGACAGGCTCTGCCACTTGCCCTAACACAGTGGGAGTGAAACAAACAAACTCATAAAAGAGAAGGAAAAGAGAGGAAATGGAATGACATCTCATCTTTCTGATGCCGAAATAAAGTATCCAAAACCTCTCCATTTTGGAACACACTGGATGTGCACTGCTTCATCCTTTTTCAGCCTCCAGCAAAATGTCATGATTTCAGATTTGGTTTCTAAAAGTAACAAACCCCCCCAATGATTCTTCATACTTCAGGAAACACTATTTCAATTTGAGTGCACAGTTAAAAAACCAAGTCATCAGGAATTAAGATGACTGTTACAGTTTGGTTTAATGCATTACATGATTCAAAACTGCTTGGGAGGTTTCTGCATCTTAAAGATAAACCAGCATTTGAAATAAAATTCTTTTATTCTAGCCAAATAAGGAAATGATGGCAACAGGTAAAATATACTGTAAAACATAACTGGCTTCACATATAAATGCTGATTTATCATACAGTTTTATCCTTCTCCTGTATGTATTTGATGAGCAATTAAAGTGTAAAATGTTGTTTCCTTCCTACATCTTTTTTTTAAATAATGTCAACAGGCAAAAATTCAAAGTGCAATCCAGTTTGTAAAAACAAAACAAAAAAGAGAAACCATTAACCCAAACACCTTCAGTAATGATATTACTGTTTTTCAACAGGCTGGTAACAACAAGAAACCAGTCACAATAAAAATTGGTGTAACAATGAGCAGTGGTTCTGCAAAGTAATCAAGACTGAGGAATGATTTTTCAGGTGGAAAACAAGGCAGCCTTCAATACCAGAATTAAAATAGGATTTATTTATGCAATTAGAGTTGGGTTTTTAAAGCAAAGGGCTAAGCCTTTGCAAAAGCTTGTAAAATGTGGATCCTGAAACAGAAGCACTGCCGGCCAGAAAAGACCAATGCACTCCACCCAGTTCAAACTTCGTTCAGGTAGCTCTTGTCTAATTAAAAGTCTTCCCTAAATTTACATCAGATGTAACTTCAGCAAAATATCTTTCCACAGATTTTCAAATACTCTCACAGAGCATCCTCCTTCAGAAAACCTCCTCCCTCAATACATTTATGACAGTTTTTCTTACCTTTAAAAATAACAGAAACAATAGGATCTGGTTTCCCAAACTTAGTTTTAGGGATATTGGTAGCAGATTCCACAATCACCCGAAGCATTGTTTCCAGTCTTGACTAAATATCAGTTGTTATGAAGGAAATTCAAGGAAGTATTTAAGTTTCAAGCTGCTTAACTTCTGGACTGGAACGCTAGCAGGAAGAGGAGGCACGGAATAGCTGGTTCACAGTAAAGAAAGTCTAGGGGTGGACCTATGACGGACTAGCTACTCAAGGCTATGAAAAAAACCCAGTACCTGTAAACTGACACCAAGTTCTGCGTTGCTGCACAAAACCAGCACTCACTAATGAAATCCGGCAACAGAAAAGGCACAGTGTAAAAACGAGTGTAGGTTTTTTTTTTTTTTTTTTTTTGCTACTTTTATTCTTCAGCTGCATTATTAAGCCTCGCAAGTAACCAAGGCAAGAACAAGCATAGAGCAACATGAACATTAAGCACAAATCCAATATTCAAGATACATCACATCTGCCCCTTGGTATACCACGGTATTGCATTTCACCATATCATGTAATTTTTTTTCCCTCTTTATTTTTACAACTTCATCGCTTGTAAATGGTTTTAGCTTGCCCCCGTGTCAGTCTAGCATCACGAAATACCTAGCCTTAAAAATAGTTTAAGTGCTCCCCCTTCAGTTGCACTCTGGGATGACGACGTTTACACAGACCATTTAACATGCTGAATTTAGTAGATGTCGAGAAAATTTTAAGATATATATGCATAAGTAGAAATAAAACAGAATTGAGGAAATACGAGGAAGTTGGGGCTGTTCAGCCTGGAGAAGAGAAGGCTGAGTGGACACCTCATAGCAGCCTTCCAGTCTCTGAAGGGGGCCTATAGGGATGCTGGAGGGACTCTTCATTAGGGACTGTAGTGACAGGACAAGGGGTAATGGGTTAAAACTTAAACAGGGGAAGTTTAGATTGGATATAAGGAGGAAATTCTTTCCTGTTAGGGTGGTGAGGCACTGGAATGGGTTGCGCAGGGAGGTCGTGAATGCTCCATCCCTGGCAGTGTTCAAGACCACGTTGGATGAGGCCTTGGGTGATATGATTTAGCGTGAGGTGTCCCTGCCCATGGCAGGGGGGTTGGAACTAGATGATCTTAAGGTCCTTTCCAACCCTAACGATTCTATGATTCTATGAAATATGTGCAAAACAAAAAAAGTGAAAAGACCCTCTATTGTTTGGATACCCGTAAATATTTTAACATAGACTCTACTGAAATTAAACTAGGCAAAACTTACATGATAAGTACAAGAATTCTTTGCTCTAAGTGAGCCCATGTTCAGCTTGACAGCTGTGGACCAGATGCAAAAAAAACCCAAGCAGTGCATACCACTGCAAGATATCTTTTTAAGTAGAGATGAGACAGGAAGCCAGCAACATGGAGCAATGCGAGTCATATGCAGAAAGTTCAGCCTAATTTTTATATAGTCACATGAGAAATATCCAGCTTAATACTTCTGAAGCCAAGATGGACCTTGCTTCCTTTCTAAAAGGTACCAAAAATGGTAGCTGGGGAAGAAAAACAGAATTATAGAACAGTTTGGGTTGGAAGGGAGCCTCAAAGCGCATCTAGTTCAAACCCCCTGCAATGAGCAGGGACATCTTCAACTATACCAGGCTGCTCAGAACCACATCCAGCCTGGCCTTGAATGTCTCCAGGGACAGCGCATCCACCACCAATCTGGGCAGCCTGTGCCAGTATTTTACCAACCTCACTCTAAAGAATTTTTTCCTCACATCCAGCCTGAATCTCCCCTCTTTTAGTTTAAAGCCATTACCCCTCGTCTTGCTGCAACAAACCCTGCTAAAAAAAAAAAATCTCGCTCCATCTTACAGGCCCTTTTTATGAACTGGAAGGCTGCTCTAAGGTCACCCCAGAGCCTTCTTGCTGCCCCAAAGGCCGGTACACTGAACACCCGTGGCAGGGCAAGCCACCCACCGGCAGGCAACACGGTGGGGGGCGCTCATCTGCTACCACCCCTTCTTCTACAGCTGCCCTTTACCGATGAAATGGAAACCCGCTCTAAACGAAAACTGACTACGGCCCCTCGGAGGGAAAGCAAACGCCTCCGCGGCGCAGCCCTCGCCTCTCGGCGGCCGCCCATCACCACTGTGCGTCAGCACAGAAAACGGAGGCAGAGAGAAGGCAGGCCCATGGCACTGGCCAGTCGAGTCATGGGCCTCCTCTCCAGATCCCCGAGGAACCCAGCAGCACCAGGCAACGAGCACCCAACCCCAAACAACTCATGCCCCGTCCCAGCCGGGTCTGCCAGCCCCTTCCGGTCCTTGTCTTGGCGGAAACGCTCTTTAACCCGATCGCCATATGTTTGGCCCATCGGAGATGCCGTAGCCTCGCTTCCGGTGTGCGGAAATGACGATGCTGGTAGCCGCGGGATTCAAACTCTCGGTAAACGGGGCCAGGCCGGTGGGTCCGCCGCGGGCTGGAAGCCCCGTTCCCCGCTGGGACCCAACTCGTTCACGGGCCCGTGCGTGCTTAAACTCGTGCCGGGTGTCACGTCCTGCCTGCAGAAAGGGCTGCCATCCCGTAACGTTTGTTTTTTACAGGTGCTCAAAGATGAACTCCAAGACCGCCAAGGATATAATAGTTGGGAAGTGGGGCTTGAAGTCGGGTAGCTCCAGAGGTGAGGGTGAGCTCGAGAAGTGCAAGCAGGAGAACGCTGCCATCAGGAAATCGATGGAGGAAATCATTAAAGGGAAAAGCAGAATAACTGATCCAGAAAGGAGCGTGCTCCTGGAGGTGAGGTGATGTTTGACTTGAAGTGGCTTTTGTGATGGTCTAATTTTGTACGGCTCACATCAGTCTGAGTGTGTCCCACTTTAAGGAAGATGCCGATCTTTCATCTACTGCTTAGTTTACTCTGATGTCAATGCTGGTTTAGCTTGATATTTTTCAATGATGACTGAACTAATAAAATTACTGCCATCTGACAAGGCTGTCAAATACAAAGGCTTGAGGTCAGAGTTCCATTAAGGCCTGTCCTTCCATGTCCAGCTGTTCAGAACAGCTGGTCTCAGAGAATCATTTTGAGCACTACCTACAAAGAGCATTATGTTTTCAAACAGTTGCCTAGGACATATGCCAGAAGGTGCAAAGTATTTGCTTGAACTATGTTCTCTGTCAGCTATAAGCAAATAAAACTGCAATCAGTTCACCACATTCTTCTATTACAACCTAGAGGGCTGAAACTAAGACTCAGAAGCTTAAATAGCGCCCCAGGGCATCTCAAATGCATTGCTAATGCTGTGTAATAATTACTTGTGCTGGAGGTCTACTGAAAAGAGAGTGCCTGTTGAAAATGTCTTCTAAAGCACATTTTGAAATTGAAAGGCTGGATAATTTGGAAAACAATCCTTCTGCTGAATGCTTCAACTTCAAATGCTGAACACTTTTGTAACTTCACTTACTATCATTTAGTTTGCAAGGTCTGCTGCTTCTCAAAAGCTAATAATAAGCCGAACAGTGCTAAGAAGCATCACCAACCACTTAACTGGATGTGTTTTACAGTTCTCGTACTGCTTGTGTTTTCAGGTTCATATACTTTTGTGATCTGTGTTCATATACAAAACTCGGTACCTAACAAGTCCGTGAAATTTGGTTCTTTGCATTCTTTCCTTTTTTCATCTACCTCAGACTGCTTTTACTATCACTTGAAATATTTCAGATGACCACTGTAATGTTGTCTGTTTTGAGCAAGAAGTAATATTCTCAGCTAATTAAAGGCTAAGAGAGAACCTTTCAAAGCGAGTATCTCCTCAAACTGTTGTAAACTTGCTAATGCATTTGTTGCGTAGACTGACACTCATTTGTGTCACTTTTAATTCTGTTTCATTAGAAAATTCTTTCCCTTGAAAAAGAAAAAGAAAAACACAACCATCTTCTTGGAGAGAAGGACAAAGAAATCCAAAACCTCAAAGACAGGCTTAAGTCCAAAAACAAGAATAGTGAAGTCTCCTTATTACAAAGTCTACTAGAGGAAAAAACAAAGGAAGCAGAAAAGCAAGATCAGTTAATTTGTTCTCTATCAGAAGAAATGAACCGGTTAACGTGTAATTTAGCCACTGCTACTGCAAAATGTTCTGAGCTTGAAAACAGAACTGGTACTTCTCAAGCATCTCAGGTAAGCATTGAAGAAACACTGGAATTTGCGCCCACTAAGCACCCATATAAAATTTTGGTTATAAAATTTTGGATGGATTTTTAATTGAGTTGTGTTGCATGCTGAAATATTCTTGACAATAGCTACTATCCAGACTGAATGATAAATGGTCAGGGAGCATGACTTCAGGCACTGCAGCTGAGGAGGGAATTCTCTAATGCTGTACTATAATGTCCCTTTTCAAGCTCACATGCAAGTGGTATGACTGGTGGTACCACATGTAATGATCTGCTGTTGGTTAAGCAGATATTGTGCTCTCCTTGGACTTGTATGCTCAGTAATTAAACACACTGAGAAGGCAGCAGTAACAGGAACATGCGGCATTAACAAGGACGAACTGATTTCCTCACCTATTCAGCTTCAGTCATGAGAATGTCTTTTTCCCTGCTCTTATGAATCCTCATTTGCTCCTTAGTTGTTAAAACTAGTTGTCTGTACCCTACATGACATCACACATAGTAAATCAATGTGACAGAAGAGAAGATGACTAATGAGTTGCTTCTCTCATTTAAAGTGGTTAATAAGCATGGTGCCAGGCACTGGGCAGCTTTTACAAGTGCTTTTACTTTTCTACAGCTGTTTTTTCCACTCCGGTTTGTCCATATGTTCCAGAGAAAAAGTACTGGTATCTCATCAAGGGGCACAGGGAACTCGGTACCTAAAAACAGGTGCCTGTAAGTCTTTTCCACCAGATGGTGCTGGTTCTCTGTGCTCTGCATGGAAATCGGGTAATTTCTAGAAAGTCAGCTTTAGCCAAATACATAGCAAAATATCTTAAACTACTAATTTTCAATGATAATACCTATCTGTGTCACTTCTAATAATGCAGTATCTTGGAAAATACCACTTTAATGCAATGTGGTTATTTTCAATATCAAAAGTTCAAATTTGGTAGAGAATTTAAAATGTATGTTAATTTTCAAGATATTTCCACGATAGTTTTGTCAATGAACTACCAGAATATCTTTTAGTTTAAAGCCAGAATTTTCGTTTAATCTTTTAAATTGATTTATCAACAGAGGACAGCAAAATGTTACTGATGTTTTGACTGGATGACTTGGAATACTTGAAAGTCTAGCAATGCCACTTGAAACTGCTAGGTGGCACCTGAGCAGCAGGGATACTTTAAAATAGAAGTAACAGTTGCATGACACAATTTTGAGAGTTTTCACTGAGGCAGAATTTTAATTTTCATGGAAATAGGAAGCTAAGTAACTGTAGTGTCTCTCAATCCTATTTTGATTAGGAAGTGCTGATATTTAATGACTGCATTCAAACTTCTGTATTTTTTTCAGTTATAAACCTTGTCAATTATGTTAAAAGAAATCACAGGAAAATTTTGAGAAAATGCAGCTTGGATTAGGAAAGTAACCTACTTTGTTTTTTTTTTTTTCCTCTCCTTAAAGTCCCCTTATTTCTACACAATTTCAGAAAAGCTTTCTAGCATGCAGTGAATAAACATGTCAGATTATGAAAGCACTAGAACTGTTTAACTACTCTCTAGCTTTAGATGAGCCTAAAAAACTCCACCTCATACGTTAAGCACTCTGCTATGCATCAGTCTCAGAAAATCAGTCACTATGTCCTTGTGGTTTCAGACAGGCTTGCTTGCTTTCCCAGAGCTTTATAATCTTACTGTTATCCCAATGAAGTTGTCCCGGTCTCCAGCTTTTCACAACAATCCTATGGGTCTGGCTTATTGTCAAACTGGTAACCGGTATGAGGTTATGAAAAATAACAAATGTCTTTTATGTGTATTTAAATAATACCCTAAATAACTTCATTTTTCAGCTCTCCTGCACCCTTCGGGTCTTCCAAGATAGCAGTTGGGAAAAAAAACACATGACAGGCTTCTTAGTTTTATTGTAACTATGAGTTGCAGAGTTATGGAATAAATTAAATGTAAATCTTTGTCCTGTATCTAGCAGGAGACTTTATTTTAAATATATGAAATTATTTTCTCTATAACTTAGATCCTCTTTAGAAAAAAAAAAAAAGACTATGAAGATCCTTAAACTTCTCCTATTTGTGTGAGATTAATAGTTATTGACCTCATAGCAGCCTTCCAGTATCTGAAGGGGGCCTACAAGGATGCTGGAGAGGGACTTCATTAGGCACTGTAGTGACAGAACAAGGGGTAAGGGGTTAAAACTTAAACAGGGGAAGTTTAGGTTGGATAATTCTTTACTGTGAGGGTGATGAGGCACTGGAACAGGTTGCTCAAAGAAGTGATAAACACTCCATACCTGTCAGTGCTCAAGGCAGTGTGAGGTGTCCCTGCCCATGGCAGGGGGTTGGAACTAGATGATCTTAAGGTCCTTTCCAACCCTAACCGTTCTGTGATTCCGTGATACAGGACTAGCTTTGCTGTTTCAGCCATCCATTTTAAAGAACACTAATGGGTTGCTCTTTGCAGGAAGCTGTAACAAACAGCACCGGATCACCAACTAATCTTCACGAGGTTGAAAAACAACTGAAAGATGTAAGTTTCCTGTACAACACTGCAAGTACAAATCATCTGCGTCAAGATGCATAAGAATGCCATATATGGTTTTAGGTAGTATGGGAACTCAGAGTAGTCCCTTCCAAATGGAAAAATTCTGTGGTTTAATCAGACGTAAAATCTATGTCCTTGTTCTTGCAAACTTACGGTTGCAATGATACTCTTATTTTATTCTACTTTCAAGATATGTTATTTTGTATTTATTTTATATTTGAGGATGAAAGGTTAGTTCTTCATAATCTGGGCATAACTCATGAAATCTTCATTTTTAAGTCATTTCCCCTTTCCAAGTAAGCCAGTCAGTATTTAATATTGCTGCAATTTTAACTTATGCTCAGAAACCTGACATTTTTCCAAATGAAGATGTGCTGTAATTGTTGCACAGAGATTACTACATTTTGCAGCAGAATTAACTAGCTTATCTTTTTTAACTGTATAATATGTAACTTTAATATTAAGAAATAAGACTAATACTTTTGAAATCTGATAAATTACTAGAGGCTTTCTTATTGTACTTCTGTTCCTTTTCATGAAGGCACTTGAGAAAAACCAACAGTGGCTACTGTATGACCAACAACGTGAGGCATATGTCAGGGGCCTGCTTGGAAGGATCTTTGAACTTGAACAGAAGTCAGAAATAGGCAGCCAACAACAATCTAAAGAATTCAGTTCTGAAGGTATTGACTTTACTTTTTTTCCCAGAAGTGACCGAAACCTATAGAGTAAGTTTTCTGAAAACAAATTATAGCACAATAAAACAAAATCAAGACTTCCTTCTCAACATTTTTGTTTAATGGTAAAACTTGGCTAAGTAAAATTTCTTTGCTTCCTGTTATCTATCTCTGTTACTTGATCAACAGTATTTCATGTTCTTATCTATTTCAGAGATGGTTTTTAACAGCCTTGACACTCTATTAGCAACCTTTCTGTTTGTGGAAAGTGTCAAGGCAAATATATATGTGTCTCCCATCCTTCAAAGTACACTTTCAACCTACATAATGGATGCATTAAGGATTTATTAGCTAGGTGTGGATCAGGTTTTTTAAATTTACTTGTTTCAAGATAAATATTATAAAAATGACTCAAGACTGCCACGTTCTTCACTCATCCGAACAGTTGTTACAGAGCATGAAAACCTGTCATAGGTTTTGGCAGCTATCCAGAGGAGTGTTTTGCAATATATATCTGGCCACCTCCACTTCCGTGCTATGCAGCTCCTCAATAATGAGCACCCTCTCAGTAACACACATTCAGATTGACTTTGTGCTTGACCAGCATGTGGAATAATATTAAAATCACATTGAACAAAAGAACCAAAAGGGTTTGGCTTGCTTTTCTTATTATGTAATTCTTAATTTTGTATGTGCTGCAACTGACCTGCAAGGTAAATTCACTAGAATTAGCATCATCTCGAGCAAAAGTATGCCCACAGGTACTTGCCACTTAGTAATTCAAGTGCAGTGGCTTGGTTTCTGTATTACTCCTTGAATCTTTATGGAAAGCAGTAAAATACCATAATCTTGTTTTGGTGCTGTTTAGAAATTCATGAACAGTATTTTAGAGGGAGCAGACTGCAGTAGCTCACCAGGAAATGTAGCTCAGAATTATTGCAGTCAGTTCTGTCATCAGAACAGCCAGGAGACTAGGAGTAAAGAAAGTTCCTCTCTTCAGTCAGCTAGACAGTAGCAAAAATCCAAGTTTCTAAGAACTTAACTGTACAAGTTGAAAGTAGATATGGCAAATTTTTCCTTGGAAAAAACTCCATGTGTACCTGAGGATCTTGCCACTCTATAAAGCAGTATTGCTAATAAGAAGGTAAGGCCTAGTTTGCAGTCAAGGTGAGGAAGAATAGTCAAGCAAGATACTCTTCCTTGTAAATGACACTTTGAAGAATGAGGTGAAGCCTTCAGTAGGAAAAGTAACAAAGTCAAGAAATTTGCAGTGCCATAAATCAGCAAAGCCTGTGGAATTCTGCATTCCCTGTTCTGCTTCTAGGTATATTTTGTATTACCACTGAATTTCTACAGATTGCCTCTTTGCTTTTAGTTTTTATTTTTTTTTTTCTCCTATTTGCTAAACTTTTCTTGGGCCACTAGGCAGAATTTTTTTCAAACTCTGGTTGAAGTAACAGTCACTAGCCATGAAGCAGGCTTTTTTAAATAAAAGCATCCTAGTCCTTTCTGTTTGCAATTTAGAAGTAAATAATGGCATAAAATTTGAAGAAGATAGTCTGCAAAAGGTAATGGATTGTCTGGCTTTGGTCAACAGTGGTGAAATACAGCCCATCAGCTCCCAGGGATATCTGGGGAGGGAGTAATGCCAGAACTTTGGTTAAGGAGATTTAGATCTGGAAGTGAGAATCTGGTGTCTTTGGGCTTTGATTCCCATGCATCGGTGTTATGTATGAGGCCATATAAGAACTACGTGTAGTACATGGAACTTGTATAGTCAGGGCAAAGGCTGTATTGTTGCTATAAGGGTTAGTGAAGGAAGCTGTAGCACAGAATACTATACACAAGCCAAGTTGCAGTTTGCAAGTAACTATATTGGGAAGGAGGCTTTGCTGAAAGTTGTTTTAGGTAAAGTTTGGTATGAATCTGAGCTGTGTAATAGCCTAGAATGTCGATTTCTATCATTATGTCTTAAAATACTGTCAAGGATTTGATGTTCTGATGTTTAAGGTGTGTTTTATTTTGTTTTTTTTTCCCCCCACATTACTATCTCAATTATTTTTGACTCTTTAAGGTCATCTACAAGAGGAAAAGCAAAAATATTATGACCAGCTGCTACTAACTGCTAAGACTGATCTCGAGACTGAAAGAAGCACTGTAACTCAGCTAAGATCTGAACTTAACAAATTCAAGAAGAAGTACGAAGAAACACAACAAGAAATAATGAGTTTAAATGCCTTATTGCAGTCACAACAGGTTGCTGCAACCAAGACTCTAGAAAATGAAAATAAAATGAAAGAAGAGAAAGTGCAGAGATTAAAACAAGAAAATGAAGCTATTAAATGGCAGCTCAGAGAAGAAAAGAAAAAGTCTGAAGATCTTTTATGTCAGGTAGGTGGATGCATTTGGAAGTTTAGGGTACATTTCCAAAGAATCAAGAGAGCTGAAAAGTCATACTGAATCAGAATGGACCATTCCCCACCCTGTTGACTGTTCTTTATGTATTGCTAGACTTAGGTCCTTCTCTTAAAACTGAATTCTGTAATATATTGGGTTGCATCAAAATCAAACTCTTGTTGTTTAAACAAGGAAACTTCACTTACTTGTTCACTTATTTCCCTGGTCTTGTGGGACACAAGAGGGAGAAGCAAGAGAATAATTTATTCTAATCTAGTTCATCCTCAGGGTAAAGAAAAAGGAAAGGTAAAAATTCAAGTCCGTACAGGCTACTTTATCATGCAGTCCTAACTGTGGAATATCACTGACGTGCTGTCTCCTGGCTGCTGCAATGCACATGTGGCCTTGTAGTTTTACTTCCTGGAGGAGCAGCTATGCCCCTGGATAGTGCCTTCAGCCAACAACCATGGCTGTGCAGCTGGGGGCTTCGGTTTGTTTGTGTTTCCATTCAGATGAGTTCCTGCATTTGATTCTCTATATAATGCCATGCATAATAACTATGCAGGCACATCTGAGTACTATAAAGCAAGGGCCAGATAAGCAAAGGAAGGAATGGACCTTAAGTGGTTTCTATCTTGAAAACAGCTATGGTAGAAACCACTGAGCAGAGTTCTGTAGTTATAAATCTAAGGAGTGCCCATCAGGCTGCTCAAGACCTGTGGTTTATGCTGTTGCTAGATTTGTTCTGCGGCTTTTGCATCAGATTCTAATTGTTCCAGAGAGTACTGTGATGACTTGCAGTTAAAAAAAATTTCTTCTTAATTCTTCCTTCCTTCCTCCTTTTTTTTGAGCTCAATGAATTTGACATCTCTGGCTGATAAGAAGTGGGAGAAGACATATACGTGCTGTGTATTTGTATTTAAAAATATTCAGTGCTTCCCTTCTTTTGTTTGGAATATGAGCACTTTGCTGCTTCCCCTGCATGGAGAGTTAGAGTTATAGAATCATAGAATAGTTAGGGTTGGAAAGGACCTTAAGATCATCTAGTTCCAACCCCCCTGCCATGGGCAGGGACACCTCACAATAAACCGTATCACCCAAGGCCTTGTCCAACCTGGTCTTGAACACTGCCAGGGATGGAGCATTCACAACCTCCCTGGGCAACCTATTCCAGTGCCTCACCACCCTAACAGGAAAGAATTTCCTCCTTATATCCAATCTAAACTTCCCCTGTTTAAGTTTTAACCCATTACCCCTTGTCTTATCACTACAGTCCCTAATGAAGAGTCCCTCCCCAGCATCCCTATAGGGCCCCTTCAGATACTGGAAGGCTGCTATGAGGTGTCCACGCAGCCTTCTCTTCTCCAGGCTGAACAGCCCCAACTTTCTCAGCCTGTCTTCATACAGGAGGTGCTCCAGTCCCCTGATCATCCTTTTGGCCCTCCTCTGGACTTGTTCCAACAGTTCCATGTCCTTTTTATGTTGAGGACACCAGAACTGCACACAATACTCCAGGTGATTTCTCACAAGAGCAGAGTAAAGGGACAGGATGACCTCCTTCAACCTGCTGGTCACGCTCCTTTTGATGCAGCCCAGGATACGGTTGGCTTTCTGGGCTGCAAGCGCACACTGAAGCCAGCCCATGTTCATTTTCTCATCAACCAACACCCCCAAGTCCTTCTCCACAGGGCTGCTCTGAATCTCTTCTCTGCCCAACCTGTAGCTGTGCCTGGGATTGCTCTGACCCAGGTGTAGGACCTTGCACTTGGCATGGTTAAACTTCATGAGGTTGGCATCAGCCCACCTCACAAGTGTGTCAAGGTCCCTCTGGATGGCATTCCTTCCCTCCAGCGCATCAACCGAACCACACAGCTTGGTGTCATTGGCAAACTTGCTGAGGGCGCACTCAATCCCACTGTCCATGTCAGCCACAAAGGTGTTGAACAAGACCAGTCCCAACACCGATCCCTGAGGGACACCACTCATTACTGGTCTCCAGCTGGACATTGAGCCATTGACCACAACTCTCTATGTGCGGCCATTCAGCCAGTTCTTTATCCACCGAGTGGTCCATCCCCATCGTGTGGGACAGTGTCAAACGCTTTACACAAGTCCAGGTAGATGACATCAACTGCTCTACCCCTGTCCATCAGTTCTGTAGCCCCATCATAGAAGGCCACCAGATTGGTCAGGCAGGATTTCCCCTTAGTGAAGCCATGCTCGCTGTCACCAAGCACTTTGTTGATATTTGTGTGCCTTAGCATGCCTTCCAGGAGAATCTGCTCCAAGATTTTGCCAGGCACAGAGGTGAGACTGACTGGTCTGTAATTCCCTGGGTCATCCATTTTCCCCTTCTTGAAAATGGGGGTTATATTTCCCTTTTCTCAGTCATCAGGAGCTTCACCTGACTGCCATTATTTCTCAAATATGATGGCCAGTGGCTTAGCAACTTCTTTTGCCAGCTCCTTCAGGACCCGCGGATGGATCTCATCAGGACCCATGGACTTGTGCATGTTCAGGTTTTTAAGATGGTCTCGAACCAGATCCTCTCCTACAGTGGGCGCAAGGTCTTCATTCTCACAGTCCCTGCATCTGCCTTCCAAGGCTTGGGTGATGTGGTCAGAGCATTTGCAGTGAAGACTGAGGCAAAGAAGTCATTCAGAACCTCAGCCTTCTCCAAATCCTGTGTAGCCAGTTCTCCTGAGAGCTTCCTGAGGGGGCCTACGTTCTCCCTAGTCTGTTTTTTTTATTTGCTATGTACTTGTAGAATCCCTTCCTGTTATCCTTAATATCCCTAGCTAAGTTTAATTCTAACTGGGCCTTAGCTTTCCTAACCTGCTCCCCAGCTTTCCAGATAACATCCCTGTACTCTTCCCATGCCACCTGTCCTTGCTTCCACTTATTATAAGCCTCTTTTTTTCATTTGAATTTTCCTCAGAAGCTCCTTATCCATCCAAGGAGGTCTCCTGGCCCTCCTGCTGCACTTCCTTCTAGTTGGGATGCAACACTCCTGAGCTTGTAGCAGGTGATCCTTGAATATCAACCAAGAGTTTTGGGCCCCCCTGCCCTCTAGGGCTGTATCCCATGGAACCTTCCTAAGCAGGTTCCTGAAGAGGCCAAAGTCTGCTCTTTTGAAGTCCAGGGCACTGAGCTTGCTGCACGCTCTTCTCACTGTCCTGAGGATCTCAAATTCGAGCATCTCATGATCGCTGCATCCAAGGCTGCCCTGGAGCGTCACATTTCCAACCAGCCCTTCCCTGTTGGTGGCACCTCTCCTTGTCGGCTCCTCAATTACTTGCAGAAGGAAGTTGTCTTGTACACAGTCGAGGAACCTCCTGGATTGCTTGTGCCAGGCTGTACCGTCCTTCCAACAGATGTCAGGGTCGTTGAAGTCACCCATGAGAACAAGGGCCTGCGAGCGTGAGGCTTTTCCTGTGTGTCTATGGAGTGCTTCATCCGCAGGCTCTCCTTGATCAGGCGGTCTGTAACAGATCCCCACAGTAATGTCTCCCATAGCTATATTCCCTTTAAACCTGACCCACAAACTCTCTGTTAACTGCTCACCTGTCCCCAGACAGTTCCATACTCTCCAGCCTATCCCTAACATAAAGGGCAACTCCCCCTCCCCGCCTGCCAGGCCTGTCTTTTCTAAAGAGCCTGTAACCTTCCATTCCAACACTGCAGTCATAGGAGCCATCCCACCATGTTTCTGTGATGCCTGTTATATCATATTCCTGTAGACGTGCACGCATCTCTAATTCCTCTTGTTTGTTCCCCATGCTACAGGCATTTGTATAGAGGCGTCTGAGCTGAGCTCCAAATGAAGCCGGCTCATTGGCTGGCGCGGCTGGGGTATCTCTACATTGCTCCGAGCATTTATTATAGGTGCTGGCAACTGACAGGGTGTGTTGGGATGGAATGATGCCCCCCCATCTAGTATAAAGCCTCCTTGACCAGTCTGGCAAGCCTCCTACCAAAACTGCTCTTTCCCTTCTTTATCATCAGACCAGCTCCATCAGCCCCCACTAGACCTGGCCTACAAACTTGGGTCCTGTGTTCAAGACACCCAAACCCCTGACTATGACACCACCCTTCTAACCATTTATTAACCTGGCTGATCATCCTAGCTTTTTTTAGGTCCTCCCCTGTATCCTGGATAATTGAAGAAAAGACAATCTGAGCTCGAGAGCCCCTAATCACCTCCCCCAGTGCTCTGTAGCCCTTCTTTATGTTCCCCAGGCTACTACTATCTATATCCCTAGCACCCACATGTATCCTCTCTGCCACATCTCTGATCCATGCCCCTGGTAGGCAAGACACCTCCCATGAGACGGGGTCAGGCCGACAGATGAGTGCCTCTGTCTCTTTCAGTGTAGAGTCCCCTGCTACTACGGTGCTGCTTTTTCCTGGCAGCACCAGTAGAGATCTTTACCAGTGCATCAGCTGGCTGTTTCTGGCTTGAGTGTGTTTCCTCATTAGCCCCCTGCAGGACAGCAAAGAGTTTCTGCATGGGGACAACAGATGGGGAAGCCCCTTGCTTTTGATTGTCCTTTTCCTCCTTTTCTTGTTTTTTTTTTCTGTCACTAATTCCCAGCTTCCCAGGTTAACGGTCTCCTTCTTTCCTTCATGAGCTAGAGGGGAAGCTTGAGGCTCCTGCACAGTTTGGGCCAGGAGCAAGCATTCCTGCTTCCTCTCAGCTTCCCTGACATCTCGCAGCCTACTGACAGCGTCCCGCAGCTCAGCCCCTGCTGCAGGGGGACCTCCACCAGGGAGCACCGAGTGCAGCCCAGCCCGTTGTGCACCATTCCCTCACCAGACCGGTGCAGGCACTCTCTACACCCCGAGCTCTGCACTGCAGCCTCCCCTCTCATCGGCTCTGCCTGGGTGCCTACGCTGGCCACCGCCGGGGCAGCCAGAGCAGAGCTCGTGGACCAGGCCCTGGTCATACGCCAAGGGCTCACCATCCTGCTCACCTGCCTGCGCAAAGTGCCTCGACCCGCTCTGTTTGCCCGCTCTGTTCACCGCGCTCCTGGTCCACAGTGACAGTGGTACAGTGGTGTCTGGTGTCTCGGAATATTCCTATAAGCATGGTGTTACTAACAAAAAAAAAAAACAAAATAAATCTATTGTTTCTTCTTTCAAATATAAAATCATGACTACACATCTGCTGAAGAGAAACTGGAAGGTCCTCCTTGAAGGACTGTCTGCAGTGAATCCAAATAAGATAGACTTGCTGCTTGGAGAAGTTTTGGGGTCAATAACAAAGCAATACAGAGCTGAGAATAAATATAAGAATGAAATTCTCATAGCCTACTGTGGTGCCTGGAGCAACAGTTTAGCTCTCGAAATGCAGGCTGCTTCTCTCTGATTAATAATGATTAAAAGGGGGTTGTTTTGGGGGGTTTTTGGTGATTTTTGTTGGGTTGTGGGTTTTTTTTTTTTTTTAGCTGAACAACGGCATTCACTATAAGAGTTGCTACCTGCTGTTAATGGAGGATATTTTATTGTATATATTTACATAATCCGTTATAGTATAGCACTTCCCGAGTCTTGAACTTGTTCTATGAAAAAAAAAGCATTGCTTGTTTTTTATTAAGATCATGGCATGTTAGCACAAATACAGTTATGTGTGCACATTTTTGTTTGTGTTAGGCAATTGTCTAAGGAAGTTAAGGTTTTTGTTTCCTCAATGCAATAATAATGTTTCCCTGGGGAAAACCCCAGGGAAGTACAGACATTTGAATTTGGTTTGTCTGTTGCATACCAGGCATACGTTTTCTGTTGGTGTTGGAATATAAAAGTTTACTTCCACCCCATTTTAGAGTTATTATTTGTCAAGCTTATTAACTGTTGTATATGGAATTTTGTTAAAAATGTTTCTCTTCCTTGTAGGTGCAACTTCTTCGTAAATTATTGCTCAAACGGCAGGAGGAACACAGTAGGATAGCTTTGTTGGAACAACAGGTACCCAATTACATGCTGAGATGCTGATACTTAATTTGTATTATACACAAGGGCTTTCTAGACTAACTTCAAATGTAAGAGTGATTAATATATTAAATAAAGTAATACTCACAGTTGAATATTCATGCCTAGTAATCTCTTCATGCTTCCAAAAATTGACATGTATCAAGACTAAGATCTATAACCTTTTACAGGACAAAGTGTTGGGTGACATGGTTTAGTGTGTGGTGTCCCTGCCCATGGTAGGGGGTTGGAACTAGATGATATTAAGCTCTTTTCCAACCCTAATTATTCTATGATTTTATGTTTTCTTCACAATCACTTATCAACTGTACAGCCTCAGATTAGGTATGGGAAACAGGCTAAAACCAATCAGCTTATTGAAGTTTTGTAATGTACAAATAATTGCATTGCTATATTTTTCATATTCTCTATTTTTTTCCAAAAACATTCTTACCTCTAACTGATGTTATTGGGAGGGGGGGGGGAGTTTCATTTATTTTCTAGGCTTGGGTGTACAGTATTACCCATAGTTCCTGACCAAATTATCTTGATACAAGAAAGATCCTGTCTTTTTTAATGAGAACTGTCATTTTTAATGAGAAACTGTCATTTTTAATGAGAACTTACACATATGATTTTCTGTACAATGCTCAGCTTAAAATTGCAAGACAGCTTGAAGTGTGTTCCAACCAAAATAACTTCAAATTCCACCTCTGCTAGGGGAGAAGATTTTCATAATTGGGCATGTATGAATTTCACTGTAGTGAAAGCAACAAGGCACTTTTTTTTTTTTTTTTCTAAAATTACATTATAAGATATGATTGCAGAATAAAACTTAAGTATATAGAAGGGGACACCCCCTCCCCCAGTTGTTAATAATTGTGAACTTAATTCTTTACTTTTCACTCTGGGGGGGTTGCCTGATGCAGATATGCACCACAGACTTTGAGAATAAACATCTTGATCAGCAGAACTTGCAGCACCAGTTAAACGAAGTCCTTAAGGAACTGCGTGAGGCTAGGGAGCAAATAGCCCGTCTGGAACCTCTGGTATGTACTGAATAACTTGCAGGTGAATTTAGTCAGGAATTTTGCATAAATGTGCATCTTTTCACATCTTATTTCAAGTGTAGTGAGTCTTCTGTTCATGTCATCAAATATTCCCTGTAGGTCCTTACATCCTTTAGGTGTGTGTCCGCAAGATGCAGAGCCCTATGTCAGCTAATTAGGCATCATTTTTCTTTACAGCATGCATGCAGACCTAGTACTGCAGATCCAGAACAGTCAGGTTCCTGAGCGGGGAAAGTAACTGTGTTTTGTATCACAATGTGTTATCTAGTTTTGTCTGTTGTACAATGGCAAAGCTGCATTATGCTTCTATTCAGTCTTGCTGCTGGTGAATAGGATGGAATCCAGAAACATAGAAGTTGAATTCCTCCCCCACCACCATCTGATGCAGGATGGGTAGGCCATTAAAACCTGGGGCTTTCGTGTCCAAAAAGACAAGCCCCCTACTACAATGAATAAAGACATTTGTTGTATTGTGAGGAATGTGGTTTGTTTGCTGCTTATTATATAAGCCCAAGAAAGCCACCTAGACTTGAACCCTAAACTTAATGGAGAAATTTATAGGGAAAGATTAAGTATTAAGCAAGCCATCGGTCTGTTTTGCTCTGCTTTATCCAGGATTGCCTAACCTTGTAAGATTAGGTGATAGCTGAATAAGATTGTCAAAATTGCAGTTCTAGACTTAAATGAGCTTCAAAAATGGAACCCATGACCCTCATTAGATCAGGTCTGGGGCCACTCTGATTTTTACAAAGAAGATAAAGGCAAAAGTTCCTAACATGTTGCATATGAGGATTTCTTCTGCAACTCTGCCAGACTGCTTTCCCTTTTAGTTGTAGGCAACTTGAAGTATTTTCTCAAAAGAGGAAGGGAATGGAATGAATCCAGAGATTCTGGTGTTCCTCACTCACTTCACAACACTTCAACATGTGTTGCCCCTGGGAGAGCCCCACTTGCTAAGATGGCATTCACTGCTGCAGCTGCCTGGGGAGACCACTGGAAAACTTGTCTGTTGGGAGTAGAGCAAAAGTTTGGGCAGAGCAGGGAAGTTACAACTTTGAGTTCCTCTGTGCTAAGAAGCTGGAGGAGCAGCTGTGAAATGGACAGGTGCCTTTTGCAGTTAGGGACAGAGTGCTTGACAAGAACTTCACACATGAGATCAGAAGTAGAGTTTCGGGGAAGGTAATTAGGCAGTATCCTATGTAGAGGTGATCGAGGCATTGTTTTATTAAGGGAACATAGTGTGTGAGCAGGTAGGAAGATGGCTGGGGAAGGATTCCCAGTCAGACACTGTGGGCAAACCTGTCTTAAATAGTCTGTAGAAAAGCTAGCTACAATCTAATCTAAATGTGTTAGAATTGTACAACAAGCCCTCTGGTTTTAGCACGAGTAGTGTCACTGCATTTAGCCATCTTTAAAATTCTACCTTTAGTGCCGTAATACACACAAGGCTTGTGTGCCATAAAACCTTAATATCTGATCAGTGCATGCATGCCCCAACCTTACACTTAATCTTCTTTTCCAGAAAATCCAGGAATCTGGACGTATGGAGCTGCAAGAGGACTTGCAAGTTGCATTTGAAGAAAAGCTGACCGTGTATGACGGAAGTCCTTCTCCAAAACATTCCAACCTTCTTGATGAAAGTTTTCTTGAGTGTCCCAGGTGTAAAATGCAATATCCAACAAGTCAGCATAGAGAACTACTAGCACATATTGACTTTTGTACAGCTTGAGCTCCAAACAGACTTACTGTATTTGCTTTATACGCAGTCAATGTGCTCTTCTACAAAGGCAAAATATCTTTTTAAAGCTTTTTTTTTTTCTTTCCTAATGTTATATAAAGGACTACTAGTTTTATAACACGGTTCCACAAAAACATCATAGTAATTTATTTAGCCTCACATGACTGTGTTTGCAAAAAATTAGCTACTGCATATTTGGTTGCCAATGGAAATATTTTTAGAATGAGGAACATCTTCAAATAGCAAACTACTGACGTATGTTTTTTGCACTATTAAAAATGGGAGCAGTAAAAGCACACCTATTGTGTCAGACTTTATTTTAATATTTGGCATATCCAGTTCTTGGCTGGTGATTCCTGATGACTGTGCCTGTACCTTAACTGACAGTAATAGCTGCAGAAGATTTTTTTGCCTTCATGGTGAACTATATATATATATATATATATATATATATATATATATATATATATATATATTTATGTATACGGGGGTATGCGCATGTGTGTAGTGTATGTATTATGTATAATTATATATGTATCATACATGTGTAATGTATCACCATCCTGATACGTTAAAACTCAGGAGGGTCATGTTAGATCTTTGCTGCTTAAGATTCATGTTGAAAGCATCAATCATAAGTAGTTTATTTTCCTGAACTACAATCAAGGGTGACAGAGCTCATATAAAAATGCTGACCAAGGTTTTTCTTCTCAAAAAATAAAATGCTGTTGGGAAAACCAAATTTCTAGCAAATAAAAACTTTCTTGGTACTGGAAAATTTTGTATTTCAAACAGTGTCAGACACCACTCTTGAAGTTTAGGTGTAGAATTATACTGAAGTAAACTTGCTTGCACTTCTGCATTTTAGAGGTTAAAGTTGGGAAATGTCAGTTATTCCATCTGTTACATTTCACAAATATCCCAGTTCAAAAGAGCAGTTTTTAATAGATTGCTCTAGTGGATTTGAACTGTCACTGTATTTTGTTATTAATACAGAAAACATGTCAGCAATAAATTCTTGCAACAAATTAGAAACGGGCAAAAAAAATCCTTTGTAGATTTGCAATCACATTGTTATCTTCCTTTAGCACTTACTGTAAACCAGGATCTGTTGCAAGCATTTTACTCCTTGCATCCATAGTTAAGTTCAACAAGCAGTTCCTTCCACAAAAATTAAAGTGAGGAAATTTTACAAAGATACACTAGTTAAGAGAAATTTGCTTCTTTTGCACTCTTATGGTTTGCTGATAGACCCCAGGTCTATCTCTGCCACACTGATTGTGATTGCTACGTAATACCAGCTTTTTCCATCACATTTTGCTGCAAAGCTGTGTGCATTTACCCCATTATGTTCACCCTAATCCCTGATGGTTAAACATTATTCTTAAATGTGATGGTGTCTTCCAGGTTGTTTTCAGTAACTATTATAATATCAAGTGATGTTATTATCAATTAAATCTAATGCTCCTAAGAAAATGTTAAAAGCTATTAGCTTAATATCTGAAATGTGTTTGCCAAATCTATTGTATTAGCCACTATCTATCCATTTTTCATTTTCACTGACCATGTCTCAGGCTAATGCTCAATTGTAGCTACAGCTTTTGACCAAAGATATGATGAACTAATGAGTAAAAAAGAAATTATTCTTCAGAATCTCAAGGTTTTTCTATGAAGAAAATTGTTTTAATTTCATGTCTTTCTTTTTAGATATTTTTTAAATTCAGTATAATGACTGTGCTTTTTCTTGCACCCTAATATTTTTAATCTCTAATTAAACTACTTCTGGAAGTTTAAGTTAGTTGTCTTTTAAGAACACGCCAATCTGCTGGCATTCTATTCTCAGTTGCATACTTGGCATAGTTTCTGCAAAAGGAAATTCTGATCTTTTATGTATTATGGATGAAATAAGTTTGCCTGCTACAGTCTTCAGTAGCATAAACCACTTTTTCATTAGAAACAGGTACTGTAGAGTGAGAATCATTAAGTTGATAATGTGATAGCCTTTAAAAAGTTTTGTTCATTCCAGCACCTCTTCTGAACTTTAGTTCAGTCCTACCGGCTAAATATTAGACCTAAGCACAGAAAAACCTTGCTTGACATCAGGGTGGTGTATGTCGAAAATTACCAATATGACATTCTAGTGCATCAGAAGACCTATTTTGAAGGCATTACCACAAATAATATTGTTGTCACATGTGACTAAAACCAACTATAAAACTCCAGAAAGCATGCAGATTGTTTCACTGTTTTTTCTCTAGGACTGAAAATTATTTTTATCCTAAAAATAAATGAAGAATAAAAAGGACTAAAGGTCTGCTGCTCCTCTCTCTAGTCAGATGTGGGACAAAGAGGTTTGTGCCTAATGAGCTCATCTTAATGCTAGGATTTAGCTGCAAATTTAGTTCTTTGTAAGGCAGGACGTAATTTTTAAAATGCTGTTATTTCAAGTAGTTTGTGTTTATAATTTCAGAAGTCTTTTTCTGAGTTATGTCCATTTCAAGTAACTGAATCTCAACCTGGCAGAAATTCTGTGAAATCTGCATCATTTGAAGATGTTCTGGGGAAGCTTCTGGATTAATGCACGTATTCACTAGTACCAGCAAATTTATAAACCCTGGCTTTCATGAACTGTGTTCTTTGTAAACAGCAAGCCAGTGTGAAATGGATTTGATGCCATGGGTGTGGTTGTAAAGATAGCTCAGCTCTGCATAACAACTGACTTTTTACACAAGGAGAGCTGCTTGTGAAATAATAACTGATGGCTCTTATTTTTCTTACATCAAATGGATCAGGTTCTAATCATTTGCTTGCTTGTGCAACTTTCTCTCTTGCTCTTGGTTTCGATAACCAGTTTTCACAGTTATTTACCATGTGCCAATAACTGTACTACAGATGTTAGGCAAACTAGACAATAAACCGCTTACATTTAACTGCGCAGATAACGTGGCAGGGAGGTGTAGTGCTGGTTATGCTGTAACAGAATCATGCTGAACAGCACAAATATTTAGAGACAATGGGATGTCACTGTTTATCTGGCAGAGAATGCTAATGTAAATGGTGCGGTGTCTTCAAGAAAACTAGGGGTAATATTGGTCTTGTGGGATCTCCAAAGCAGAGAGAGGGGAAGTTTACAAGCTATGAAAATGTAGCAGTAGAGGAGGTCTGGCCATTTCCACTTTAATCTGGCAATCAACCTGTCCATTAGTTTCCATATCTCATAATCTGATTGAACTGTTAAGATTACAATAACAGCTGTGGCTATGGTTTTACCTTAAAAATGATAAACAATTATCTTTATCACACAAGAAAGATGCAGTATAGAGCGTAACACAAGCTGCATTATGTACAGTGGTACTATGCAACTCAGAATACTACTTACAGCATCTCTAAATCTTTTCCTTTCTCTAAAATGTGATAGAATTATGCACCCTGCAGTAAGGGAAGGTCCTGCTTAAAGTCTCTCTGGGTGTTAAAAACATGGCCATGTTGTCAGTATGGGGGTGTGTTTGAGTTTTTGTCAAGGCAGCCAGCTGCAGCAAGGCAGTTGCGTATCTCCCAGGGAAGGACAGTGCAGGATTGTGCTGGCACAGTGAGCAATTGTGTTGGAGAATTCTGCAGCATAGGTGGGATTTTAAAAGGTAGGTAAGGAAATAAAAGGTTTACAACATGATGAATAAACAGGCTCTTATATGTTTTACACTTAAGCTTTCATTTTCTTTTCAATCCAGATGAGACAGCTGGAATACTGTATCCAATTTTGACTATTCCAGAGCAATTCAGACTAATGTGAATGTAGTAGAAGTCTTTCAGGTTTCTGGAAAATTCATGAAAGAATCAGGGTTATGCAGTCTAGAAAAGACCATGAAGAAAAATGACAAAATTTCATACAGAGGGAAGAAGTAGTCTTCCTATGCTTAGCGAAAAGAGTAACAGGCTCAAAATTGCACCAGCAGAAATTCTGACATAAGGAAAATCTTTCTGATGGTTGGAGTAGAGCAGTGAAGCACATCACTTACAGAGGCTGCAAAATCTCCACAACTGGAGATTTACAGGGCACTTGTATAACTACCTAAACCATTTCTGGCAGGTGAGGTTGCTTCAGGTCAGGGACATCAGCCAGATGAGTGCTCACAGTCTCTTGAAGCCCTATTTTTAATGACACATATAGACCTGCAAAAAGCACACCAAAAGATTTAAATCATAAAAAAAAGAAAAAAAGCAGTTAACAATGCTTACTCTGCACTGACTCTTCATGTTATTTCACTTCCATGCAAAATTAGTAGCTACTGCACCAGAAGTCAATATAACAGTAACAGTTTTACTGCACCGTGTTTCTCAACCGGAATATTGCTGGCATGTCTATGTATAAACTTCTAGTTTGAGCAGACAAAGCCATTTTAAATCAATGTTTTCACTCAAGCATCACAACCCTGATGGAAAACAAGATAAATGACACAAGTGTAACATGATGTCACTTAATTCCCTAATGTTGGGAAGTGCCTCGTTCCCACGCTGTTTTAAGGGACAGTGCCACGCTGTCCAGTTCTTTGGCATCTGGGGAGTTTGGGCTCCCCTCCATAGGATGCTCCAGGATCAGGGTATTGCGTATGAGCTAGCCAAGCCAGCCAGTGAGAAACATGGCTCCTCAAGAAAGGCTAGGTGCGCAAAACGAGGTGCTGTTGAGGATTCACAGATGCAACTTCTCTTCTAGCATTGCCTGCTTATAGCAAACCAGTCCCTTCTTGCAAAAAAGGCAAACTCCAAAGAGGACACACATCCGTGAAGTGAGACCTTTACACACAGCCCCCTTTCAGATGTGGAACAGAGCTGCCCACCAGCAGTCAGGGATTCATTGTGCTGTCTCCCTGACCAATCGAAAATGTAAGTATTTCATGCTGAATTAATAGTTTCAAAAAGAGAGAGCAAAGTAAGGTGCCTCAGAATATCCTATAAGAAACAAGCCTGGGACCTTATCGGAGTGATATCCAGCTGGCTTCTTGACAGAAGTGCAATCAGGTTTAATTTCCCTGATCAGCTCAAAACTGGTGAATGAGCACACTGCCTCAGCAAAAGCACGGGTTTTATCAATGTAAGCACAGTAATCGTGTCAGCGTTATCTCATTCAACTAGACACAAAACTATACAGCCTAAGTTCAGCATCCACACTTTCTGAATATGGTTTATGAGAAGCTCTAAGTCATTTCTCATCAATCATCTCAAACAGCCACTGATAATGACAAACATGAACAGTGTGGGAAATCACATCATTTAGCGTATTACACTTGGTAAGTCAGGAGAGTTTACAGCAGTATTTAAAGTGCTATCTGTACTTTCTCTCACTGGTGTTATAAGAATGATTGTTCTGATTCTCTAGCCCTTGGCTACTGCTAGCTATGTACAAGCCTCACCTTCCAGGATGCACAGATTCTCTTGCAGCAGACAGGCACACTCTAGACCTTTTTTCAGAAATGCCCGACTTTTAAAAGTAAAGCTTTTATCCCAGTTCTGACCTGAAGAACCCCTGTTGCTCCTAGCAAGTTAATCTAAAATGAAACAAGGGAAAGCAAGCAAGAAAATTCTTCAATCTCATGAATAAGAGCATTCTCTAATCATGTGGTCCTTGAATATGAGGGAAAGCGATGACATCTGTAATCCCTGCACTGAGCACAACCCAGCAGACCAATGTGTTCAGGGAATGTATGAGTACATCTCATGAGCAAGAGAGGCTGGTGACAAATTTTGTTTGTAAATTCTTCAGAGGCACACCACAGAATTTGTTCTGATGGCTCGGCATCAAAGTTCAACAGCAGGAATCCAAGTGATTTTTTGCACATCTGGAGGTTAGTGAAGGTCCAATGGTACTTAAATATCAGACTATAATTCACCATGTAAATCTTGCTCAGGGTCTCAGTTCCTTGGTGAGAGTGTTCTATTAGATCCTGTGATGTCCAAATGAACCATTCCAATACCCTATATCCACTGATAAACTCCCTAAATCCATGGGCTAAATGTGTAAGTGTACTACAGTATCTAAAACTGTTCAGGAACAATCCCACCTAGTTAGAACAATCTAGCTGGAGCTGAGTCACCCTGGTGAGGCTTGGTTAGCATGCAGCATAACGGAGATCATGCCCTTCCAGGGCAATTCTCTGTTAGATGGATTATGTGCTTACAATTGCACTTGGTTCAGAAAGAAATCCCTCCCCTACTGCAAGTCATGAGGAAATTGCTCAGTGTTGCTGCTGGCAAAACCTCTGGTGGTCTTGACAACAAAAACCCGACCCAGCTATTATTAAGAAGCACATCAACTGAGAGTATTATCAGCAGCTCTGTTTCTGACTAAGGCATTGGTCAGTAATGCTGCTGCTACAGCTTGAAACTACAGCACCCTGGCACATAACCCAGAAAGCATGCCAGCTTCTAATGGATACTGACCACAGGAAAATGAAACTCCTCAGAGGAAACAGGGATTAGTTCTTGATATAATCACACAGATCCATAGAAGCATCTGGTATTTTCAGTGAACACTGGAAAGGGTGAGCTTGCTACTATATGAAGACAAACAGATGCATTTATATTTGTACTTCAAGTTTAAAATTGTCCCTTATGCATTGGTGTAAATGCTTCAGCTCACTGATAAGAAAGTATACAGAGGGTGAGCAGTTAGAAAACTTCCTAAAAAGCAAAACAAAACAGACTTGCATTTGAATCAAACCTTAAAATAGCATAACTTATAAGCACAGAATTAACAGTGTCCAGAAGCAGAAGAGCTGCAATATGGTATGCAAAAACAAAAGTGAAAAGGGAAAGCTAACCCTGGTTGCCACTTATGCTAAAACCCTTATATAGACACAGCTTGAGTCACCTACAAGATTGGAACATCTTTTGTGAAGACAAAAAGTCAATTTTTCTAATGCAATGAATTTAAATCACTTAGCAAACATTAAATATGCAATACATCTGTTACAGATGTCAGTACTATTTAATCATTGTGATACAGGTGCGTGAAAATAGACCCAAAGACTTCAACACCAATCTACATGCAAGAGGATGCATAAATAAGGTAGAAACTTTCTTAGGTCATGTCCAAATGGAACCAGAATCACCATCTCCCAGAATCACCTAGCCCAACAGGTCCCTCTCTCTGAGAATATTTCTTATGCTCAAGAAATAAATAAGCTGAACCATCCCCATCTGTCATGCCAGTTCATGGTTGTCAGGACACAGCCTGAAAAAAAGATATTGACTTACAGTACCTGGTAACACAGCTCTTACCTGCCATAGAGAAGTCAAAGACTCAGGTTTCCAGCCAGGATGAAAACAAAAATTGAAACAGGATTTTTGCCTGCAAGACTAGCTAACCAGCTCCACAGAGGTCCCTGCAACTTCCATTTAACCTGGAACAATGAAACTTGAGTTGACTCCACGTTTTGCCATTTCTGAGTGCTAAAGAGAACATAGGTTGAAAAAATTATATAGGTAGGTTGAAAAAAATATATAGGTTAAGTAACCATAACTGGTTTCCAAGCATTCTCTTAATCACTTCCTTGTCTTAAGCACACATAGAGTATATACCACACACAGCATCTGCCCATTACAGTAATGCCAGAGTAGCTCTGTTGAAGTTACAATTCCTCCCTTCCTCAGATTTCATGTTGTGATGGTTGCTATGATTGTCGTTACCCAACAGCAAATACAGCTTTTGTACTTCACGGGAGGGAAAACAAAACTATTTTTTTATATAATGGGTGCATTAGACCCATGAGTAATCAGACAGGTTTTCTTCCTGCAAGGAGCTCCCATTCATTTCATAAACCCCCTTGGAAACATGCAAGTTTCTTCACACTTCTGCTGTCCCCAGGCACAGGATTTTGCACACAATTCAACACAAAGCTTACTCAGCAACAGCAGACTAAAAGCAGCGTTTTGCTTTGGTTCTCCTCAGCAAACAGTGGGCTTATGCTGAGATTTTCATCCACACCTAAGGACCAAAGCTAAAGGTGATCCTTTCTAAAGAAGATCAAGGGTCTATGCAAATACTTCCACACATTTTCAAACCTGCTCCTCTATGGCATTCCCTTCTTCCCTGATTGAAAATATCCTCATTGCTTCAATATTCTGCTTTGGATGTTTCTCTCCCTGTTTTCCTTCCCCTGTTCTGTTCTAATTTCATTTTCTGCTAATGACAAAGGCTATAAAGGTTTCATTCATAACAAAATTTGCATTTATCTCGGCTACCATTTCCAACAGCCACCCACCCTGGCCCATCCTGTTAATGCCTTCCAAGTTTGCACACAGGTACAACTAGACTTCTAATGTGGCTCTTTGCCAGCCTCTGTTCAGAGCTGACCACATCGCCACCACTGCCAGCTGCCCAGGACTTCAGGGATAGTTTGTCAGCTTGCATGAAGTCCCAGACACTTGAGGTTGTGACAACTGGAAGGTATTTGCTGCATTTCAAGATTCACTAATCATTTCACAGAATCAGTCCATAGCAAAGCCAACATAAATTGTGACTAGATATGTCAAGCTTTGATCATAAGTATGGATAATCATCCTCAGTAGTTCTGTTAAATTTGCTGAAACTTTTGCAATATGGGTGCAGATTTTTTTCTCCCAGCAAATGATGTAGAATAAAATCTGTGTTTTGAGACATTTGCCAGGCACTTGTGTTGCTGGCTGCCAAAAAAAAAATCATCTTTGCAAGTTTTCTTATTGTCTTGATTTAAGTTCATAGTTCATAGCAGCCACCCACTTAACAGCAGATCTGCCCACAATTCATATGGTCATCAATCAGCAGGAATTAGTAGGAGCATCTCATCCACCTGTTCAAGCTGCCCTGCAAACTCCCTGTTTGATGAAACAGCACAGACTGTTAGAACCACTTATAGCTCGAGAGAAAACATGCTAATTAAAATCAGTTCTGCTCTGTCAAGGACACGGGAAGCAGTCCAGCAAAGATCTCACTCTTGTCATTCCTCATTAGGAGATTGTTCCTTAGAAGGACTGAGTTTCTGGAATCTCCCTAATCTGGAATCCCCACTAATGCCATTGCGTAAATGGGTGATGGCAGGGTCACACCCAGAGTACATGGAAGCACCGCCTGGTCACCTGGTCCCATTGGCACACAGGTTTGGCATAACTCTCACCTAATCAAAAGGTGTAGCTCCATATGGCCAAGACTGTAACTGTATCCTTAAGCACCTGCTCTGGCACCAAGACAAATGAATCCATCCAGAGCCGCCTGAAGTTGCACAGCTGTTTACATACTTCACGAAACATGAGACATTATCTGCCCGCCTGTGACGATTTATGTGCTTTACCATTTGGACCATTTCCAAACCATGTGGAGTGAGGAGCACAATCAGACAGGTCTACTTTCATTCACAATTCGAGCAACTGCTTTCAGGAATTGCCCAGAGGCAAGATGGTTATTTTCTAGGTATGTCTTAATTTACCAGGCTTCTTCAGCAAGAACCCGTAACAACAGACAGGTAACACTCTATATCAGCTTAGTAAACAGACCCCCAAAATCAAGACAGTGGCACTTTTGACACTTCCCCTCCATGCCAGACCGTGGTTAGCACAGGACTGCTGTTTCAAAAAGCCACTGTCAAGACATGAGGCAATGGATAAGTTCCTTCGTTTTTTACCTCAGAGCAGTGCTGGTCATCCCAGGCCCCCAAGAAGAGCTCTTGAAGCAGTCTGACGGCCATCCCTCTGTTTTAAGCCATGTAGCGACCCCAGCACAGGGAGCAGGCTGGCTGGGCCTGGGTCACTCGTGCCTCAGGGACCTGCCTGTACAGCATAGCAGGGCTGGCTCTGGAGGAGGTGACCAGGCCTGGGCCCCTCAGCATGGAGGTGCCAGAGACCCGCTCACCCCTTCCTGCCTCCCCACACGCTGCGGCCTCGCCTTTGTGTGAGCCGCACTGTGTTTGCCCTCCCACTTCCTTGTTCCACACTGGCGCAAGGGCCATAAACCACCTGGCTGGCACAGCCTAGCCCTCAGCAGCACAGGCAGAAGGAAGAGGAGGGAGGGGGATGGCAGCCAGCCCCCTGCTCTGTGTTGGGAGGACACCCCGGGTGCCACCGTGGTGGCTGGGAGCTCAGCCCTTTCCGTAGGGCTGGCACCGCTGCCCGCGGTGGGTCCCTCATGCCTACTGGCCACCCTCATGCTGGGGTCCAGGAGTGCACCAGGGGGGAACAGGTCCTACTTCCCCTTCTTCTCAGACTTCAGGGGCTACAATGTGACGGCCCTGCGAATTGGCGAGTCATCTGCCCTGGCCTCCATCTTCCTGCTGGCCTTGGCGGGAAACATCTGGGGCATTTACCTGCTGGTGCGAAGGCAGCACCGGCTCTCTGCTGCCAACTGCCTCGTCCTCAACCTCTTCTGCGCCGACCTGCTCTTCATCACCGCCATCCCCTTCATCGCCGTCGTGCGCTGGACCGAGTCCTGGGTGCTGGGCGACGTCGTCTGCCACATGCTCTTCTACGTGATGAGCCTCAGCGGCACCGTCGTCATCCTCTCGCTGTCGGCCGTCAGCCTGGAGCGTGTCGTGAGCATCGCCCGGCTCCGGCACGCCGCGCTCCGCCGCCGCAAGGCGCTGGCCGCCGCCCTCCTCCTCATCTGGGCCTTTGCCGCCTTCGCCACACTCCCGCTCTGCTGCTTCTTCTCTGTGGTGCGGCTGCCCGCCGCCGGCGAGGTGAGGACTAGCGCAGGGCAGGACCGGCAGCAGCGGGGCGGTGGGCGGCCGGGCCGGAGGAGAGTGGGCGACGGGCGGCGTCAGGAGCCGGGGCAGGGAGGGGGGCTCGTGCGCTCCTGTCACCGAAGGGAAATGCTCTAGGGAGCGGGCAGCGCTCCGTGCTCCAGGAAGGAGACGAGGCCGTGCCCGAGGAGCGACCGCAGAGAGACCCCCACCCGCCGCTGCTGCTCCCTCCTGTCTCGTCCAGCGGACCCTCCCGTTAGGTGGGAGCTGGGCATTGCCTGGGATGGCTTTGCGTCCCCCAGTATGCAGGGAATCAGAGATGCTCTTTTCTGCACGTTTCCCCCTTACTGGGGGCTCAGCACCCAGGGAGAGCTGCCCAGAACATGCAGCAGCCCTGGACAAAACGGCCATGCACAGATTTTTCTGCTACTATTTTGAAATACATACAGATGTACACCCAACACAACGCTCAAATACATGACCAAGTTTAAGGTCTAGAAGTTTCAATGTTAAAGTTGCTGTTAGCGTTTGATATGAAATTTGTGCAATATTCAGGTGGTAGACAACATGTCTATTTGGAATTGTATGGCTTTTAAAGCCATGAAGTAATACATTAATTGCTTTAAGTAGAATCTTTTCACTAACTCAGTTTAGTCTTCAGCCCTTTTCTCTGTAGACATGGAGATAAGGAAAACTGCAGTAAAAATAATGAATGGTACAATGTTAATTCTCTTCTCTACTCTTTGCAAACAGGACATTCAGATTTGCACCTTGGTTTGGCCCAGCAATGCAGGAGAAATAGTTTGGGATGTGACCTTTGCCACTGTTTTCTTTCTGGTACCAGGATTAGTCATTGTCATCAGTTACTCCAAAATCCTACAGGTATGTTTTTCATTTAAATTCTGTTGCAGAACAAAGGGAAGTAAACTCACTAGGCATCACCATATGGTCATTGAATACAGATACACCCAAAGGGAACAGACATTTGCTTAGTGAATGGTAAGTACTGATACAAAATAAGGCACTTCAACCAGTACGTAGCAGCCTATACCCTTCAACTAAGCAAATGCTTGAACAGCACATTACCAGAAGCCCAACATGAAGTTTGCATTAATTTACATATTATTTTTAATACACTTCTCCATTTATGTGCTGTTCATATTTAGACTGTCAATCTGCTGAACGCTAAAAGAGTCAAGCATTTGAAGTAATGAAAAATAAGCTTTTGCTTTCCTTGAGCCTTAACTCCAGAGTTACAGGGGATTTGTAAGAAAGCGAAGGAAAAAAAATCCCCTTTTATGTCTGCTGATCTTCTGCATGTATTTTTAGTACAGTTCTCATGAGAATACACTTATTCCTCCACAATTTCAAACTTTGCAAAAAAAAAACATAAACAATCTGCTTCCACTTTCTTTGTGTGTAGATGTTGTTTAACTGTTGAAATGTAGACCAAGACACCAAGCACCACAGAATTCTAATCAACTAATAATAATTTTAATCTCATCTAGCAAGCATGATGTTAGTTACCTGAATTCCTTTTAAAACATCTAATTCCTTCTTCCTCTTCCAAAACCAGAGTGGGAAAGAGCTAAAAATCTTCAAACTAGGAGCTGCAATGCCTAATCTTTAGCAATTACTTCCAAAAGATTCTTGATTCCTGTATTAGACAATTAAACTTCACATACTATCTGTAAGGAAAATTACAGGTTTTGGAAAGGAACCACAAAATACACAGATTATTGAGCAGGGAATTAACTGATGAAATCCTGAGCACCAAGGGGCAGTGGGTACATGCACCAGAGCTGCAATCCGTGTTTCCATGAACATAGGACTGAGAATCTGGGCTCTGCATGTACTTGCCTATTGATCAGGCTTTCACTTGTAGTCAAAATCATCAGCTTTTAGTTTCTGTACATGCTGGAAACTCATTATAAGCTTGAGGTAAATGCATTAGGTAAAGCATCTGCCTTTTGTAACCTCATTATTTGCTGTAGGGAAAGAAGATACAGAACTCAGTGGGAAGTCTGAGCCCTTGGAAAGCACTGCAGAAAACTGCAGGTCCAGGAATGTCACAGTCCTTGGGCACCTCTTGTCCTTGCAGATGCCAGGTTACAATAAATAAATTTAGAAAACAAAATGGCATGTAGAGAACTAGAAGCCTGAAAAAGTGTTTAGAATACTGGATTACAAAACAGTTCCATGCTGCCATGCTCATGTTTCTTTTCCAGCTTGATAACACAGATGATGAGGTAACGTTTCTCTTGATCTGAGAAAAGAATGAGCCCATAGCAGGATCCCCTCTGTTAGAACTGAATCTGCTCTCTCACACACTCTCCCGGAAGCAACCAGAACTCAGCTGGAGAATGTCTTAATCCCCAAATCATTCCCAAAAGCAGATTCACTCTCACCTCATGAGAACGCTCTGTGATGCCAGTGAGCACAGAGTACAATGCTCAGTGTTGCTGGAAGCAGTTCAGAGCATTCATGTATTCAATTAATACAGCATCTGTGATGATAATGATTCAGATGTGATACAGATGTTAAGACCTCAAATTTGTTAACAAATATACTCTACAAATGTATACTTTACAATTTAATCTGAAACTATTTATATAATATATATATATTCTTAGAGCACTTGTGGTAAGATTAGAAGCCATGATTTGTAGTTAAGTTATTTGGTTTTGCACTGTTCCTTCTTGCAGGCAAGTCTTACATAAGAGGCTAGAACTACTAAAGACATTTGTGCTCTGGAAGTTACCTGACTTCTAAGCTCCTGTTTCTCAGAGTGTGTTCCAGATGCCCATGATAGGTATCTACCTTACTTATACTATGCAGACCAAAAAGGAATCCAAAACATTTCTCTGCCAGCCCATGTCAGCTGAGCACTTCTGTACAATGCAGTTACATCTTATTTACTGCAATCCTGATGATTCTTGCATTTTTAGTTCTGGGCTGTACACCAGCAGGAAAGATGGAGGATGCTTATATGGGACAGATACTGTGGCCGTTTTGAACAGTGGAGGCTGAGCAGGGCACAGAACTTGCTCTTCCCACTTTTATATTAGAAGGAGATATTAGTCCTTTGTATTTTGTGAAACCTTCATTCTTACTAAGACAGGTTAGGTGCCCTCTGAGACCAGCTCTTGGATTGGATTTTTTGGAGGAGTTAGCCTAGTTTCTGGGTTGCAAATATGTACAGCAGAAGATCATCAGCCTAGAATAGTTTTACATGCTGAAAACGTCAGACTTCTCTGCCCATTTTGAATCAGAGAAGCAGCTACTGAGACTGTTCTGTTCTCAGGCTCAGCAGCTGCTGAGAAGCCCATTGTTGGATCCCAGGTCTTGATTTACACACCTGCATTCTCTTGAAATTTTTGGTAGATGTCTGGGTTCTTAATGAATATTTATTCTAGGCCATCGCCCTCTGTGACCAATTTAGAAAACTGCAGGGAGAATGAAAATTGCTCTCTTTCTCTCCCTATATATAAATAGATATAACCATTTTGATCCTTACCTGAACCAAGAAGCTACTAAACATTACTAGTATTAGTGTTATCCTTCCATTAGTTACTGCTAAAGGGAAATGTCACACATATAAGTAGTAGGAAGAATCTTAGCCTTCTGGCTTTCCTACTTACTTTCGTTACACCAAATTGATCCAGGCTTTTGAAAATACCCCTTCTTTACCTATGCAGGGGATAGAATGGCATCTCAATTATTTAGTATAAAGGTTTGTATGCTATGTATTTTGATTTTGTTTTATTTGCATCAGATAAGTGAATGTAACAGACTTACTTGTGCCATGCCAACTTCAGTGAAGATGGGGAGGTAGTGCATGAGATTCAGTTTTCTGCAAGCCATTGGGATTCATTATTCTACCTGGTGACAGATGCTTGACCCCCATGAATACTGGATTCCCAAACTACCCATAGTCTGGTTTGTTACACTGGACTGTACTTTTACAAGAAACACAGTTTCTTAGTGACAAATGGATCTGTAAATTTCCAGGTTAGTTCACAGAGAACAATTCTGATTACTGACTGAAACTTTACACAAAACTTGAAGTAAAATTCCTTTCACATTTGAAACATCTTATTATTTTGTTGCTGTAATAAATTCATGATCTGTCTAATACCTGCCTTATAATACCAGCATGGCTGTAAGAGAACTGGATTGCATTCCTCCTTGTGCATCAATAGGATTGTTCATTATGTTCCAGTTTGCCTTTGTGAAAAAAATCAATGGGTTTATTTAGATAGAACAAATGAGGTCATAATTTAAAGTTAATGGGATTTCATGAGTAATTAAGGTTCTGTTTTATGCTGAAAAGTATTTATGCTTGGAAGAAAGCCATAAGGAGATCAACCAGCCTGACTAATACTGACATGAGCTCACAGCTGAAAGGAAAAAAAAAACTAGTAAAGTGAGAACATTTGAAATGGAGCCACTGACAAAAAGTAAAATGGAATTATGAAAGGCCTTTTTGTGGTCACTTTTCAAAACAGAAACATTACGTGCTACGATTTACTTTTGCGCCTGTAAAAATGTGTTAAAAATTCTTCTAAGTTTCAGTGAAAGTTACTTTCTTTTCTTTTACTGCAGATTACAAAAGCATCAAGAAGGAGTTTAAATGCTGGCTTAGCCTACTCAGAAAATCATCAGATCCGTGTTTCCCAACAAGACTACAAACTATTCCGAACCCTTGTTGTTTTGGTGATCTCTTTCTTCATCATGTGGAGCCCAATTATAATAATTATTCTTTTAATCTTAGTTCAGAACTACAAAGAAGATTTAATTATTTTTCCATCAGTTTTCTTCTGGATAGTGTTATTCACTTTTGCCAACTCTGCTGTCAATCCAATTTTGTATAATGTTGCCCATTTCAGACGTAAATGTCAGGAAATTTTTCTCTGTTGTACAGGGATCCCTGTAAGGCATGGGGCTGGTACAGAAACCACTGTAAGAAGAAGTAACCATGAACAACCAAATCTGTCTTTCATTAGCAGATAATTATTTAAAGTTTAAGTTGTGACACATTTTTGATGTTAATGTCTATGTTAACCCAAGTTGAATAGGTCACTATGTTATAGTACTATATGCCAGAGAAGGAAAAAAAAAAAAAAAGCAAACTAGAATCTGTATTTTTGATTCCTGAAAGTAAAATTCTCGACTTCACTGCTTTGCCTTAGTAAGATTTGGACAATTTAATCCAATGGATTTAATTTGCCACTTACACTGAAATAGGTATGAATATGGCAGTTAACTTGGTGTTTTTAAATAGTTGAAATAAGTACATACCAGACGAATTAATTTCTATGAGGGTACATTTTTAGTTGGCATAAATGTCATTAATGAAGTTATAGTGAGTCTGTGTCAGGGGCACTTGATCTATTTTTACTCTTTTATTTTCTACTGAGTAAGAGATTAACTTTCTAGTGAAAATATACATCCTCAGAAAGTATCTCTCTTTTATTCAATCCCATTTAAAACAGGCACTTGATTATACACTTAGATAACTGACTGCCTGAACACAGGTTTGAGCAGACTAACCAATTTCATGTAGGAAACAAGATGATAAGCATCATATTGGTAGTATCACCAGGTGAATAACCAATTATATTCCACCTCAAATTAAAAATATGGACATAATGCCTTCTAATTTATAAATAAGGAATAAAGAAATGTTTACTTGTTGTGTGTAAAATAGTTCTTTTTAAAAGATGCATATTTTTTATGAATTCAGTAGGCATATAATAAAGTTAATCAGTGATATATAAGCTCACTGAAATTTCTTCCTCTTTTCTAAAATGCTATTGGGAATGATTTCCAGTATTTCCTAGGAGAAAAGATGACATTGTATTGAAAATAAATTAAAATACATTTATTTTGGTTCTTTTTAATGGAAACTCTTCAGTCAGAAATTGAAACTGCTAAAAAAAAAAAAAATAAATTCTTAATTATTATCTGTGACCAATTCAAAACAGTGCATTAAGAAAATGGTCTACTAATAAAACCAATGTCTCCATATGTACAGATTTGCATACAAACAATTTGAATCCCCTGTAATCCAAGTTTATTAAAATGTTTCATTGGTTTATTAACAAGATGAGCTACACAGCTCAGATAAATATACTCAAAATCTAAATTAAGCCATTTAAAAGGTTTTCAAGAGAACACCCAATCAAAGTGTGAACTTTACATCCGTGGTGTTGTTATGTGGTTTCTTTCCATAGTTTCGGATCTCCTTAAGAGCAAAATCCTAAAAAAAAAAAAAAAAAATAATTTTGGTTCTCAGCCACACTGAACAAAATTGAAATATACAAACTTTCACCAATTTAAAAATGCATACATATCTACTTCCTTTAAAATGCTCTTGAGTTCAGCAGGCTGTTACTTATAATGCAATGTCAGTGCCTTGCTCCTCAGTTTGTAATTCCAAAGAATTTCCAACTTGGAACAAAACAGGAATTCTCCCAATCTATTACACCTGTCCTGAGCATTTTAATACTTTGGCAAACAAGGGACTGGATAGATCAGTGATAAAAAAGTTATTTATTTGCTTTATCAAGCTTCAAATTATTTACCTTTTAAAAATTATTAATTTAAGAGTGTCTTTCAACAAAGTAAGACTCTCCTGACCTCCAAAACTAATGGCAATAGTAAATTAGCTGAGGTAATATGCCATACTTTAATTCACAATTTTTGCTTCTATCAAATGCTAACAGCAAATTCAGCTTACAGCTCTACTGACATGACTTTGTATTGTGTTTACAAGTAGTCCCACTGTGATGCCCACACTCATATTTGTATAACTCAGAGCAACCTATGTTATTCCTCTGAGACACTAAGTGTATCAGAGCTGGATCCATATTTCAAAAGGAGCTACCATCAGAAATGCAATGCAAGTTACAACCAAAACACTCATCATTTCCTAAGCTTCTGCCTTAGCCACTATACAAAGAATAGGTATTTTAGATTTTTTTTCTCCCATCAAGGTAAGTTTTATACATCTACTTGATCTTTTTGGGAACTTAAGTTCTTTAAGTACAGTATTAATTTGAAAAGCTAATGAAAAATCTTGGGGGTTGGGGGAGAAATTAGTGTCAAGACATTGAATATGCACAGTTAGAAACAGATACAAGCCTATTCTTGCAGCATCTGTGAATTTCAGTCAGAATTTTACCACAGTAACAACTGAATGCAGGTCAGTACAGACAATTGAAATTGGCTTTTTCTGCTACTAATTCTGTAGCTCTTAATAGCAGAATGAAAACTAAAGTACCAGGGCTTCCTAAGGAATTCAGGGAATTTTATAAGAGTTTCTGATATAAACTTTCAATAAATGTTTTTTTTCAGTTTGGCTCACAATCATTCTCTCATTCCCAAATATCCTTGCTTTGCAGAAACTTTGGGTTAATGATAGTGGATAATTCAGAATCAACTAACACTATGGTAATTACAGGTTCTGATTACAGTAAAGGAAAAATGCAAATTGCTGGCTTTAACTTTCATTTAATCTTTGGTGCTGGGCTCATAAAGACAAACTCAATAAAAAGCAGACAGCATTAAGGACCTGAGCTGCTATTTTTCATTTACAAACAGTAACACCTAACATTTGAATATAAATCAGGATAGCTGACAAAGAACACAGCACTCAGTGCAACCCTGCAGATTTGATTATTTCCATAATAAACTAGAGGCAGCATGATCAACTTTTAAGGTTAGCAAGTCAAAGAACATTTAGGACTGAACTTTCAAAAGACATTCTGAACTTTCATTTTTAAATTACACAATTGGTTTTATATTCTGTGGGGAAAAAAAAGAAACAATCACCAAGCATTCAATTATATAGAAGTTCTGAGATATTCGAACAAGTTACATCCCAAATTATGAATAAACCAGTATACTGAGCCTTTCTTCTCAGTTTATGCTTGCAAAGACTGGCAATACATTTATTGTCTTGCAAGCCTTGTATAGTGCAGAAATAAGAGATAAAACAGATTCTACCATGCTGAATTAGGCCGGTACTTGAACTAGCCCAATACCCCGATTTTACAACGGGATATTTTTCCCTGGGTTTGGCAGAAATGCAAAGAATCACCATAGCACACACCTCTCAAAATCACAGCACAACATCTGTATATTTACACTTCACCTTATATTTAATACAAAACCATCCCTAATTATGTCATTATTTTGTTTTCTCATCCTGAGAAATTTTTATTCTCACTGTAGTTTATTTGAAATGAGCAGTGAATGTGGCATTCAAAACAAGAAAGTATCAATTTATATAACAACATGCTTTCTTTTCTATCCTACCCTTTATGCAATCATAGATATCATTCACAAAAGGCGTTTTCATTTGCATTTATAGTGTCTCTTAGTCTTGAGTGCCTTAAATCTCATCTGTCTTTTATACTGTCTCCAGATTCAAGACAGAAGTTTTGTTTCCATTGTTGTCAAGCACTTTTTCCAGGTCACTAATCAGTATTCTAAATACCCATCTTAGCAGATCTTTCAGGCACCCTGTTATCAGCATACCTACTTTACAACATGGCAATATATTACTCTTTGTTTATAGAGCAGATGAACAGGTAATAGACACAAGAGCTGACTGTGCTCATCTGTTCTGACTTTCTTTATAATACACAAAAGTTCCTTCAGTCAATCCCAGTTTATTCTAACATGTCATTTAGAAAAGCCTTTAATCTTGATTTACAGATTTCAGTGATGAAGAACATACAACAGCTCTTGGTAAACTGTTCCAAAGGTTAATGACCTTTGGACTTAAACAAATGGCTATTTATTTCTGCTCTGAATGTGTCCATTTTAAAGTTCCATCTATTTTAATTTATTATCCCTATGTTTGCAAGTCCTTTATTATCCAATTCCCACTGCTTGTGTGGGCAAGCACAGACTTTGCTCAGGTCAGCCTTTAACCTGTTTCTGAGAAAATATCTAGATCTCTGAAGCCCTCACTAGGGGAAATATTTTACAAGTTTTCTCTGCTCTTCTTTGAAGCTTCTAACTCAACCTCAGTATCCTTTCCAGGGGAAACATATATATATCCTGTGGTATAAAGCAGAACACTCTCATATGAGTTCACATTCAGCTGGTTCACCAGTCAAGTCTTCTGTAGATATTGTGTCTTCCAGAATGCTAGGGGGAGAGGTAGGGGTGGGTACACAACTATTTTATTTCTTCTAAATATTATGGTCTCTTTTCTTCATTCTTCGCTATTTCTCATTTTAGGTGTAATATAAGCCTGACTATGTGATTCAGGATAACTTCATATTACCAGTATGAAGGCTGTGTCTCTCTTCCACCACCCTTTGTGAAACAGTTGGCATGAGGATATGTGAGAAAGGGTCTGCTATAAGGTATCCTTTCCAAGACATGTGATTTTACTTATAATTTTACTTATAATCCTTTCATGAAGAATTTGTCAAAGAAGTTTTTGAAAATACATTCTATTCTCTTCCACAACTATTTTGTTGAGAAAGACTAAGAGATCTTGTCAAAGAGATACAACTTCTTTTTACAGCAACTATGAAGTTTATCCTTACTGTTTACTCATACTACATTGATATAATTGTTTTACAACTTCCTCTAATTATTGTTTCAGGTGATGTGATGTGCCGCATAAAAAGCTATACATCTCAGCTCTCCTCCAGATATGGGAAGAAAAAGTTGGAAATAACTTACTACAAGTTCCAGTTTTCAAAAGACAATATTACAGCCACTAACTGAAAGACTTAATATATTTGCTATTTAATTGACTCCTAGTACTTTAGTCACCAAACCCTGAAACAATATTCTTCAGAAAAAAACCATTCTTACCATTATGAACAATAACTCTGTATTTTCTGTCCAAGCAAAGGTCCTTCTGCCTTTGTCTGACAATTTTCTGTGCCTCTGGAGGCAATCCCTTGGGGTCCCGGGAGAACACAAAGGAATAGCTATCAGCACAAGTGCCATCTTCATTCAGCTGGCGGCAGGAGTAATGAAGAGCATAGGTATCATAATCTGTGTCCACTACCCAGTGATCATCATCTGGAAGGAATCATAGCAAATAGCAAAGGTGAGACACAAGCAGTATCTGGTAAAACTAGAGAGATTGCTGCCATAACTCAAAAAAATAATACAATGAAAATTGCTATAAATGATAGCAGAGTAGCTCTTAGATTATTCCTGCCTCCAGTATTTAATTCCATGTTTTTGGCGGAGTTTTCCATTTTATAAATAAAATAAGTATATTTATCAGAGACAGTGCTGGAGAAAAGAGGAAATGGTTGGCACACTGCTGCTCCTCTAACGTAGGTTCAGAACAAGAGCAGCATGAAGAATTGCTAATAAATGCCTTGTAAATCCATGCCTGAACATCATTATAAAATGTGGCAGCAAAGAAAAAAGAAGAATCATGTATTACAGTAGCTATCATTAAGTATAAATAAAGTTTTCTTATTTTAACCAGAAAGGGGAACAGTCAGACAAAAAAAAAGTTAAAAAAGCAAATAGAGAAGCTAAATGTATTCTTGGTCATGCTAGTCATGCTCCAGATTACTCAAAACCATAACTATTTTCCTACCAAGGATGTTACTTAAACTGTGTTTTTAAGGAAAAAGATTATCGTGCAGTTTCCATGTGTGTTAGAAGTGCATTTGCTACAAGCTCTATCATAAACCCTCTTCTCAAAACAAACTGACAATTTCAGGAAATTCTTAACTATTTAGCTAGGTAATCTCATAAATACCCAGTCACAGAGACACCCTGTGCTAACAGAAGTGAACCTGAGTTTTTGCAGTAAAAAGTGTCATCTCTACACTTTCCTTTCCTGGAGCAAAAGATCCTCCCTGATGCTATGTCTATGCTGGTGAAGGAATATGGTATGTTCTCTTTCCCATCTCTCCTGTGGGTGGGGACCACAGTTTTTAGAAAGGTAGAATCTGGGGTCAGCCTGCAATCTGAAGTATCCACGAAAACATGATTCAGCAGCATGCTGTGAGGAGATTTGGCAACAATTCAAAAGCAGTTGGCATCCAAAGCATTCTTTGTAGCTGTGTCTTTGGAGAATGGAACTCAAATCACTTCCAAATTCCACCTGCTTCTCTTGGAAACAATCCATGGAAATGTCTTGAGCTACAGGTGTCTGAATCTCTACTTGGCTCAATAAACTAATTTTGCCTAGGGTGTGACAGATGACAGAAAAATATGAATGTATATATACTAGATAATATTTGTTTCTTAAAATAGATAAATCTCTACATTTGAAAATATGAAACCAAGCAAAATAACAGTTGCAAAATCTTTTCTCCTGCTCAGCCAAGTCTGACATTAGGCTCTTCAGAGAGGACAGAAGCATTGATAAGTTGAGTTCTGAACTAAAGACTTAAAATACTTCATCTGCCTTTCATTTCTTTCCAATGACCTTCAATTATGTTGTTGGATAGCAAACAAAAGAAATACAAAGATATACAAAGGCCTGGTCTTGACTTGTTTAAAGAAAGCCATGCAGCTCACCCATATGAAAAATAGTGCTTACCTTGTTCACATGAAGGCTTTGCTGTATGATAGTTATTACATGTTTTAAGTGTGTTTAAGAAGTCCAAACCTATATTTCCCTTCCCCAGGATGGACATACAACATAATTAGTTGTTCTTCATCTTCTACAGCTAAGTACTCACTTCCTTTCTGCAGAAAAGAGGCAACACCCCAGTACTTCATCTTGAACTTGGCAGGATCCTCCGTGTCAGTGAAAGAGCCAATCATGTCAGCACAGACATCCCAGTTGCTGTGGCCAGAGAGAAAAGATACATCACATGCAAACCTAACAGCACATATTCAGAGTGACTGCATGACTACCACAGAGATGGCAGGTAGGATTAGAGCACCAGTAAGCGAAGGAGAAGTTAAGTGAAATGGACTAAGAGGGAGACTGCAAACAGCTTACTTGAAGAGTCTGACTCTGCCCTTTGCAGTGGCAGTCATTTGTCCATTCTCATCTATGGTGAAGTCAGCTACCACATTGTCCTGCAGAAACAGCCCCTCGGGATCTTTTTTTGCCATGGCATACCAGATGCCACTATACTGTAAGGAAATAAGAAAGGTTGTAGATAGTCCTAGAAGTATGGAAAACTACATACAGACATTAAAAACTGGGGGGGGAAGCTACAGAGGGGAGGACATGCAGATATTTGACACCACGCCTCGAAACAAATCTAGCTGTTGCAACAGCATAAACCCACCAACATGTCCTACTGCAGCCAGGGGTAGAGAAATAATTGATTCTGTTTGTATGTTATTTGTATCTGCAGTTCTCCAGCATTTAAAATGTGAAATTTGGTGGGAAGAGGATAACAACTGGTAGATCTTGTCAGATCTATGTATAGATGCTTCCTCCTTGCAATGATGTCTGAAAACACGAGTATTAATTTTTCATAGAAACAACCAAATCACTACTCTCGTTTTATTACAGATTGAGACCAGCCTGCTAAAGCCCAGTTTCTGCAGTATTCCTTACCAGATGCATCAGGATCCAGCATCTGTGGAGGTGTGGGCCACATCACACACTTCTGCTGTTTTGCAGTCTGTGACTGAGTGAAAATGTGAACACTTATGCTACTGAATGCCAGATTTTGTAGCCTGGGAAGAGGAGTTAGGCAAGATATCACAGATCCATGAGAGAAAGGAGATTTACCCTGTTCTTGTCGAAGTTCTCCTTGACTTTGAAGCTGCTTACTCGGCAGTCCCGCTGTGCTGTGCTGCTGCCTAGCAAGGCCAGTGCCAGCAGGAGCAGCCAGGACAGAGCTCTTTCTGTATGGACCATCCTGTCCCTGCAGCAACAGCAAACAGAGAATAGCATCAGAAACAGGCTCTGTCACGCAACTGAGGACGGGAGGAAGGCTGCCCTGACAGATCCCCAGGCATCATTCAGCTTTCCCTGACGTATACACAGGCAAGGCACCCGGTTGTCCCCAGCCCACCACAGCAGGATCCCTTACAGACAGTGCTGGTCCCTGTAGCCTCTTGAGAGCCCAAGTGTTGATGGCAGTGGTGGGGCTCCCAGACAGGGAATGTTTTATATAGTCCTGGGTCTTTCGCAACCCCCTGAGGTACAAAGCCAGCATTGGACGGGGAGCAGGGAGGTGGGTTGTTGCATGCTGTGGGCATTCAGGGCCTCTTCATAGCAATGTCTTGCATAACTCCCATGGGCTCAGGTGGTCTTTGACCCTGACCTGCAGCCAAGCAGGCACTAGGAACAAATGCCTCTGGTTTTCCTAAGCCAGAGGCAGAGAGCACACCTGGGAGAAGAGGTGTGCACATGTGCAGGGAGAACAAAGGAAGAGAGGCACTCCATCTCTGCAGGGGGGAGAGTTAGTTGCGTTCACCTCCTATGTGATTTTATGCTGCAGTCCAAAGTCCTTCTTGCCCAATGTGCTCAACCCAGTTACAAGGTGCAGACCTGTTTCCTCCACCTCCTCCCCAAATTCTTTTCCTGTTTTCCCCTGATAAACAGTGGCAAACATCATACTTGCAAGTTTCTGCTAACATTTCTGAAAGCCTCATCATGTCAGAACTTCTTCATGCCCTTATGACTGGTTCCCTCTTCCTTCCCAAAAGATGGCTCAGGTGCCAATCCATGGTCTGCCCTCAGGAACAGGAACTGGGGCCCTGCAAATCTCTGAGAAGGCAAAGAGCACTTTTGTGTAGTACTGCAAAGGTGGTAGGACATACGTGCAGCCTGCAAATACCCGAGTGCATGTACACACCACATCTGGCCCTTTTCACATCAGTTTTAAATCAGAGTTTCCAGAATTTCTATTATGTTTTTGGCAAACAGTTTTCAGTTCCATAAACCATTATTTTCTCCTGTCCAAGCAAGTTTTGCTGCCTCTCAGTCAATATTTGTTCTATAGTTTCAACATCTTTAGGAAGCATTAGAGAAAACCTGTTAATTATTTTCTAGACATGTAACCAGAGCACGATAGGACCGATTATTACCAAGAGAACTAATTCACCTACTTTTTTTACCTCCCAATTTTGAAAGAATAGAGACGGGGCCTGTTAGTTAAAGGGCTTTATTCATTACTTTAATGCACATTAAAGTATGGCAATACCAATGTGGTATAAAAAATACTTCAACAGTAGCTGATGTAAAGAGTTAAAACAATTTATTCAGCATGGTCTTTCCTAGAAATTTCTTCCAGCGTTCTGTTCCTTTTGTATATTCATAAAAATATTGAACTTTTTACTGTTTTTGCTGTCTTTTTCAAATGTAACGCAGACAGTAACAGTCTGATTTATTTTCCTTTTCTGCTTTGTGTTGGCACATTTTTGCATAGATAGTAGATTTGTATTCACTTTCTCAAGAATCAAATGCTCAGGGCTGTTCCAAGTCTGCTCTGAAGCCTTTGATTCCCCAGATAACATCAGACACTGAAAATTTTATTATGTTTAATATTAAGGCTACTGTTTGGAATAAAGAAGGTATTTAACATAGGTATCCAGAAAGGATGAGGCATATTAATTGTCCTGCAACTTTAAGCAGTAATCTTTCAACAATCCAACCTTTCCATTTTAAACTGAGATTTTCAAGTTTGCTAACTCCCACAAAGACTTAAGAGAAACAGCAATCTATATCCCTCTGTTGGCTTTTAGAACCTTGTTCTAGCCTCTGGCAATGCTGATACTGGTTATATTTATGTATTTTTACAAAACTTTTACAAAACTATCATTATTTGTAATATATGAATTTATCATACTTACAAGTGTAAAATCAACATGGATTTTCTTTGTTCAGTGTCTCACATGATTGATGGTAAGAAGACAGACTATAGTTTAATTTACAAGCTTTAAATCTGTTACTTACTTTAATACCAAAGAAAACAATTATTGTCTGCCAAATCATGAAATATTATTTCTCCTAAATTTGTCCTCTTTGGAAATCTCTATACTGCTTTATATTCCCAGACAGGTTCTTTCAGGATCAAAAGTATTCCTACAAAATTTTGTCAGTAACATAATGATCCATGAAAATTCTATTACAGAAGTTTTCAAAGGAATCTACAGTCACTTATCCAAATGAAACAAAACATGATGAGATTTGACCACCTCTGAAAATCTAGATCAGCAGCCCCATTATATTTACTGCATGTTGTCCTCAGCAGTTTTACAGACAGGAGACCAAATCATGTTTCACTGGAACAAAAAATATGCTTCTGTTAATAATTTTTAATTAAGGGCAAGAGCCATTCCAGTGTCTTAAATTAATCTGAGCTCATCAACAAAAATAAATCAGACGCGTGTAATTTTATGTTAGCCATGGCACAGCATTTCTTTGTGTGCGTCTGCTGATCTCTGCCATGTTTGGCAAAGCATATCTGGCTGATGGGCCTGGCAGAGGCTTAGTAATTATAATTTCTAATTCATTCACCTCCTTAAGTCTGGGATCTCTATGAACTCTAGGTAATAACCTCAGAAAACTCTTCTTTTGAACTGCTGTCATTGTGGATTTGTGGGAGTGCAGCTACAGTGAAGTCACACCAGTATTTCCCAGTCACATTTCAACAACTGCAGAAGACCTGGGCAAGTCTAGTAAAAGTTTGGCTCTGTTCCTCTTCTGGTTTAGCTATACTTCCAACTGTGCCCGCTTGAAACACAGTTTACATTAATGAAGTATTTTCACAGTCACAGCTAAAACACTTTGGCTCAATGAGACAAGCTTTTTAGGCGAAAAAGGCTCCTTGTTGTCAGTTAGGTCTCGGCTGGGAGTGTACTGGGGCAGGGATGGAAGGTTGCTGGCAGACTACCATTTTTATGGCAATTCAAGGGTGAATTTTTTCTCAGTCCTAACAGATGTAGCTATGCCAGCACAACTATGTAAACTCATAAACAGGGTAAACTTTGCCTCAGTTAATCATCATTTGGATTGACTTGGGCTATGGGTTAGGTTGAGAAATGATGCCAGCAAGTGATCCTTATCCAGATCTTTGGAACCTGGGTACACCCCTTGGAAGTTTGTACTTCTCATGCAAACAGAACAGAATTTGGGCCAGGATTTCAATTGATTCTCAGAGCAATGTGCATAGATCAAGTCAATCACATTAAAAGATTGTTGGATTCTGAGAAATCTTAGACAATTAAAATATTGATAATGCATGAACATGCAAATAACCTGTAATGTAAAGCATTCATTTACAAAACTTGTTGTATTGCCACAATCGATACATTTCATATATGACTTCTCATTCCATTTGAAGTTGGCAGCATATTTCTAATATTATAGAAAGTTTTTTAAAAGTCAGTATGGGTTTTTTTTGGAACTGTAATTAATTGAAGGGTAGAAAAGTCTTCTACCTCTGAATTGTGCCAAAAGGCAAAAAAAAAAAATGGCCTTTCTGGCAATGATTCTGTGATTGAAGTATTTTTTACATTAATTTTACATAGCCTGTAAAATTCTCCAGTATTTTCCACTAGGAATAGCAACAGAAAATACACAGAGAAGGTCAGATTTTCAAAGGAAATTGCTGAAAAAAAGCTTTCATTGTAGGAGTTATTTTAATTTCATTTATGACTTCATAACAGAAAAGAAGAAACAAGAATCAAATTACTATTTAAAACATTTTAGAATCATAGAATCATTAGGGTTGGAAAGGACCTTAAGATCATCTAGTTCCAACCCCCCTGCTGTGGGCAGGGACACCTTACGCTAAACCCTATCACCCAAGGCCTCGTCCAACCTGGTCTTGGGCACTGCCAGGGATGGAGCATTCACAACCTCCCTGGGCAACCCATTCCAGTGCCTCAACACCCCAACAGGAAATAATTTCCTTCTTATATCCAATCTAAACTTCCCCTGTTTAAGTGTTAACCCGTTACCCCTTGTCCTGTCACTACAGTCCCTAATGAAGAGTCCCTCCCCAGCATCCTTATAGGCCCCCTTCAGACACTGGAAGGCTGCTATGAGGTCTCCACGCAGCCTTCTCTTCTCCAGGCTGAACAGCCCTAAGTCTCTCAGCCTATCTTCACACAGGAGGTGCTCCAGTCCCCTGATCATCCTTGTGGCCCTTCTCTGGACTTGTTCCAACAGTTCCATGTCCTTTTTATGTTGAGGACACCAGAACTGCACACAATACTCCAGGTGATGTTTCACAAGAGCAGAATAGAGGGGCAGGATCACCTCCTTCCACCTGCTGGTCACGCTCCTTTTGATGCAGCCCAGGATATGGTTGCACTTGGCATGGTTAAACTTCATGAGGTTGGCATCAGCCCACCTCACAAGTGTGTCAAGGTCCCTCTGGATGCCATTCCTTCCCTCCAGGTTATCAACCGAACCACACAGCTTGGTGTCATCGTCAAACTTGCTGAGGGCGCACTCAATCCCACTGTCCATGTCAGCGATGAAGATGTTAAACAAGACCAGTCCCAACACCGATCCCTGAGGGACACCACTCATTACTGGTCTCCAGCTGGACATTGAGCCATTGACCACAACTCTCTATGTGCGGCCATCCAGCCAGTTCTTTATCCACCGAGTGGTCCATCCATCAAATTGATGTCTCTCCAATTCAGAGACAAGGATGTTGTGTGGGACAGTGTCAAACGCTTTACACAAGTCCAGGTAGATGACATCAACTGCTCTACCCCTGTCCATCAGCTCTGTAGCCCCATCATAGAAGGCCACCAAATTGGTCAGGCAGGATTTCCCCTCGGTGAAGCCATGCTCGCTGTCACCAAGCACCTTGCTGTTTTTCATGTGCCTTAGCATGCCTTCCAGGAGAATCTGCTCCAAGGTTTTGGCAGGCACAGAGGTGAGACTGACTGGTCTGTAATTCCCTGGGTCATCCATTTTCCCCTTCTTGAAAATGGGGGTTATATTTCCCTTTTTCCAGTCATCGGGAACTTCACCTGACTGCCATGATTTCTCAAATCTGATGGCCAGTGGCTTCACAACTTCATTCACCAGCTCCTTCATGACCCACGGATGGATCTCATCAGGTCCCATGGACTTGTGCATGTTCAGGTTTTTAAGATGGTCTCGAACTAGATCCTCTCCTACAGTGGGCGCAAGGTCTTCATTCTCACAGTCCCTGTATCTGCCTTCCAAGACTTGGGTGGTGTGGTCAGAGCCTTTGCCAGTGAA